TAGTAGCAACGGAGGCCATGGAGCTGTTGCGAAATGGAAATATTTGGAGTTAATGGCGTTATTCTAATTGGATCGATACCGAAGCGAATTCGGTATCGGAGGAGGCGTGCGAACTGAAGGTTCGATACAGGAGCATATAGTTATCGCTAGTTGCTCCATGGCTTGGAAGACATGAGGGTTAATACTTGCAGCAACAAGCTGACCGTCTGGTCTAACTTGGGTGCTCGCAGATGGCAGCGTAGTTTCGGCCACTCGCGGATAACTAATATTAATTTTAATACAAGGAAACGCGGTGCTTCTAATACCAAATAACGTTTTTGTGTATTCTTATTTTTGGACTATGATTTCTATCAATTAGTGTTTATGGTGGTTTTGCTATACCTAAATCCTAACTAAATCCGAAGTACCTCTATGTATCGCATACTCGGAAGCGATCCGAGTAAATTCCATGACAAAAATTCCATGACAATGGCGAAACATCCTCGGCCTTAGCCCAGTCCCCTAAACTCGGTTAACATTTAGCTCTAACCTAGAAATGTAACGTCGTCATTGGAGTCGGGACGAGCCGCGTCATGTCTCAAACGGTTAGTCTTGGACTTTTTGCTTACCCTTCTTACCCTTTTTACCTTTCGTACCCTTCGTACCCTTCGTACCTTTCGTACCCTTCTTACCCTTGAGCGGCCCGGACATCCTAACCTACCTAAGGTATGTATGTCTTACACTACTCTTCATTCTAGATTTCTACTACTCACAAGCCTCAACAGCATTATAGCATTTTCTCAACCGGTTTTGGGAGGCTGAGCAAGACTAAGCTAAGCGGCCGGACCCTAATTAGGCTGGACGCCGGCGTTATCAGATGGTCATAATAAAGCTATACTAAACTATGTAAGCGACCAATTAGGCGCGATGGCCGGGGGTCAGCCGCGTTATACGAGGTTTTACTACGAGGCTATCTATTCTTAGATTACCTTCTATTTATTTATTTTCGCATTACCGCTGATTAGGTAGAAAGGAGGCGCATTCCAGCTTAGCTCGGAACGCCATCCCATTCATTCATGTTACCTAGGTGAGTTGTCGTCCCATTATGTATGTATGTCACAGCATCAACAAAACATCATTAGACCACTATGTATGTACATACATACATACCTACCTCATAGGTGTAAGAGGAGGGGAGGGGTTATGCAGCCCTATGAGACGTTACACTCGAACGACTTTCCACAAATCGCCACGCCGCTAGTCCAGCGCGCAATAGCAATTGTCGAATGCTATTATGCTTGGTAGTGGCTTATTACGTCACATGGATTGCGTTCTAAATCTCGGACGCCGTCGGAAGACCACGAGCTTGTGATATCATGTGTTTCGCCGTGATCTCGAGGTGGCGGAAGTTTAGAGAACGGGCGGGAAGGGCCCAGGTTCTTTCAAGATCCCGCCGTTTCGGCGTCTGGACTTTCGGAGCCGCCCACGACTCGTTACCGTGGCGGAAACGCCTCGTCGGGTATAACCGTGCTACGATATCTTTTGTGCCGATAATATCCTCGGTGTAAACAAGTTTCTCTCCGTCGTCGAAGCAAGCCACGGCTAGCGTCTTCACTGTGAGCGATGTATAGTACTTACGCAGATGCATAGTTCCAGACCTTGATGGACTGTGTGTCCTTACATTGAACTTTAGCCAAGATGCCCATTGGGCGACGGTCAATGTCTCATTCAGGAAGTACATTCTCGTCTATCTAGCCCGCCAATACTTAAGTAGGGAATAAGGGAGACGTAGGATCGATCTACTGTTGCTATTGCTACACAGCTCAGTCCTGCGGCATTTTTCCTCTGAACCAGCTGAGTACGCGGTTCTAGCTAGAATGCTGCATGAATACCCAATTTTCAAGACGGCATAGGCTCTTTTTTAGACACTGTGAACAATCACCATCCATGACGGCCCTTACTAGATCTTGAAATGGCTACAACAATCCGTCCGTGCAGTAGTGTTTCTGCGATCACATATCTACGCGCGCCTCTCACGTCAACCTAATCATGACTATCCAGAGGCCGCTATGGCACGATGATTAGTGCCCAAGATATCCTCCGTCTCCTATCTGAAGTGAACCCATGCTTGCTCAGGGGTCGATCTATGATGCTATCAACATCCGCATTTCTCTCCTCCCCCTTTAAGACAGGCTAGATCGACTTCGACTTCGACTTTCGAGACCAAAGCTTTTACATAGCCTATCTTCAAGCCTAGAGTTGTATAGCTTCCACTCTACCACGTCCACTCGAGTTGATACCTACCATATAGGGATAGATACCGCCGTCTTTGCAAGTTGCCGGAAGAAGATGGGACGAGGAGCTAACGACGGTTAGTAGGAAGCAGTAGTTGTCTCGATGGATCAACTAGTTGTGACCACCTCCCCACGGCTGATGAATAATGGGCCAAGTACCGTTCGCTCTGGTTAACGGTAGGTACAAGCTATCACGTATGTACAAACTGCATGATCCATCCTTGTCACCATAAGGACACTACCAATGTGATGCCGCACCTCGCCTGCAGATAGGCAATGCATATGTGGACAAGCCAGATAGCTTCTACTGCGTCTTATAAAATCCATTGGCTTGTCGTCGGACCCAGTAAGTACCTCCTGAGTCAAATACTAAATCAAAATAGGGGGGCGAGAAACACATTCCATAGTCAACATTATACTCAATTTAATCAAATTTCTTAACACAGCAGATAAATATTATAGTTTCCCGTACTACAGATCTATTTTGACGCTTGTTACCTGCTTGTCCAACCCCCAGCCTCCCGCGATCTTTGGTGGTGACCAGAATCTCGTATTCGCTAGCCCCATTGCGCCAACGGCCCCTGTCAATTCAAGCAGGCAGGCTCCGCTCCGAGGACCCCCCTAAACCGTAATGGAGAATATATGCATCCGTTGGTAGGGAAATAGCCCGTTCTTGCTACATAGCACTGCAGCCACCGGTAGAAAGTGAGTATAAGCTGGAACCCTTGGGGTTGCGGCTGGAAGGGCGGATAGAGATGGGGGGAACGAATCGTTGTTGATCTTACTAAAATCCTGGGAACGGTCTCGGTTGGTTTGTTTCCCTTAACGCTTAACCTAATGCCCAAGCTAAAAGATTGTGGCTTGAGGGGTCTTGGCTGCTCTGAAGTCATCGAGTATTGTCCGCTTTTGGTACCGTACTTCATCCCCCAAGGGCGGGCGGGGAGATATCAGGGATACGCTCTAACCAAACTATGGTACTCTGGGGAATCCAAAACGTGTCTCTCCAGAATTCATCGATGAATCTTCTTCTTTACCCTGTTCTTTAAGGATTTGAAGCACTTAACCAGGACTACGTGGTTACAGCACTGTTTTGCTGCGTTAAGGGTATCGAGAAACTGACTCCCTATCCTCGACGCATGTCGCTCCCTGCCGTAACAGGTTGTTTTCTAGAAACGGTAACAGTTCCTGCGTCAAGACAGTCCAGCTCTGTAGCAATGCAACTACACTAGCGAATGTAGACTTACCTAGGCCGAACAGATCCCCTTCGTCTACCCACACTTCGAAGTATCCCTACCGTCGTCTCATGTACACGGCTAACCTAGCAGTTTGCTTCGAGAAAAACCATGGAACGATTCCAACAACACACATACAGACATAGTGGCGTAGCATTATCCGCCCGTCCCCTACACTAAGCTACGGAGCTGCTCAACTAAGCCTTGGCCGAGTCCCCCGTTCAGCTTTCGCCCCAACATTTCCTGCTATACTCGGTTACTTTCTGCCGTGTATCGTTACACTACGCTCGGAAGCAAACAAATATCATACGTAGACGTGATGGATGTGGTGCATAGGTATACCAAAAGAACGGAGATCCGTATATAGGTACCTAGGTAGCACTTTGTGAGTCGAGCGCAAATACCGAAATCCCCATCACAACGTTGCTTTCTGCTAGCACACGTACGACACAGGGTACCTATTTTTGTCTAACTTATAGATGAATTTGTGTGGAGAGGTAGAAAACACGATATCACAACCAAGCGAAGGACAACCTCGGATTCTATCTCTCGCATACGGTACAGTAAATATTCGAAGCTAAAGCTACTTCAATCTTCAATCTACTTACGTGGTCAGCTCGGGATTGTCTACCCCCAGAACTTATAAGGCCATAATCCCAAAATATCTATAGAAATCACATATCGATAGCTTCGTTACGTCTCAACTACCTACAAAGAATTATTCCGGACATTTGGCTGCGAATCTAATAAACCACAGGATATTAACTCTAAGTACGAGCAAGCTCCAAACATCAAGCTCGTAACGAAGGTGAAAGTAACACAGGGGAGAAATAGAAGGCAAAGAAAGAAAAGAAAAGGGGAAAAGAGGGGGAAAAGAAGAAGCGATAAATGAAAACAAATGGCAAAAGAATGTCAGAAATCCAGATCTCCCAACATTCTGCCACATTTCAAAACACGACAAGTTGACCTTGTGCTTTGAACCTGGCAGGGCGATAACAAGTCCTATGAACCCCTTCCCGAAGAATTATTTCTAGCCCATCCTCTCGGTAACCGCTTCACAATAGCCATTTTGGAATTGAAGTATTAATTATGAATGGAAGAATGTCCTGCTGGCTGTCACAAAGTGGAATTAAGCAGCGTGGAAACAACTTTGTTGTTCCGCAAGGAACTCTAACCTAACTAGGAGAGTCTGTGTTTATACATGCTGAACATGTCCTTTGCTCTAGATGTCTCATCTAGAATCCTGACACTAGTGGCATATTTAAGTCGCTGTCTAGGATGTTAGTAACTATCAACCAGACAGTTTAAGATAGCGTAGGCCTTTGCAGATATAGATTATTGTGATGTGAAAGAGTATTCTACGTAGTCAGTTATGGTTTATTTTCCCTAAGTATGTAGCAACTTGTGGATATAGGGGGTAATCAGTATCGATCTTTGTACTATACTACGAATTTCAATATATTGACGTGTCTGTAAGCAGACACTCCATAGCTTATGAGAAGCTAAATTCGACACTAATAGCAATAGGCGAGACTGTAATAATTGTTAACTAAATGGTAAGGCTACAAGTAATTTAAAGGAGTGGCAAATACTAGTTAATTTATCAGCCTTGCAGAACCTGTCAATAACCTCAGCAACTACCCTCAACACGTTCAGTATAATAACGACCAATAGTAAAGAGGCTCTTATAAGCCCATCTTGCCTATCCCACCACCCCTTTATCTTCCACCTACGTATGATTCGTACCATCACTTCGAATATCTATCCTCAGTCCACTATAGCCAAACCGAAAAGAAATTGATAAGGAAGAAGAAAAGCCCAGAGGTGAGTTCAATAGTCAATTTTCCAAGCTATATTCACCCGCGGTTGATGTATCCATCCATATACCACCGATAATAGTCAGTTTTATTTGTGGCTTATTATCAAGTAAAACTAATATCCTTCTCCTTCCTCCTCCTAATCCGGACCGTCGTCCTTTGCGGCCCCAATCGGACAGTCCCGGACCAGTTGTTCTTCGGCCGTCTGCCTTGTATATCGAAGTCGTAATGAGCGATGATATACGCCATCGTCAACTTCACCCCGGCGGCCGCGATATGACGTCCCGGACATGCGTGGGGCCCGTACCCGAATCCCACATATTCGGGGCTCCCCTTAACCCAAGCCTGCGGCAGCGATCCTTGAGTATTGATATTGCCGTCTCCCCAATCAGGCGCGGCGGGCTCCCCTGCGAACCGGAACGGCTTGAAGGTATAGGGGTCCGGATATATGGCGGCATCGTGCATCATCGCGTACGTCGGGACGGCCACGGCTGCGCCTTGCGGAACGCGAATGCCTGACGGCGTCTCGATGCCCCCTTTCTTGACCACAAAGCGGGGAACAGAAACCGTCAAAATCGTGTTCATGCGCTGCGACTCGCGCATCGTGCTATCGAGCTTTACCATGGATGCCAGCGCCTGCTTGTCGAATCTGCCGCCGCGTTTCGCTATCACGGATGCGATCTCGACGCGTAGCTCATCAAGGTACTCGTCCTTGGAATGTGCAAGGTCGACGATCGCGTGCATCATAGTGCCTGATACCGTACTCATCGCGGACACGTTGAAGCCCAAAATATTACCGAACAGCATATCGAATTTAAAGCGGTGCGGGTCACTAGACAGCTTCGTATCATCGACCATACGCTGCAAGAAATCGTTCTCTGTAGCCTTGAGCTCAGGGTCGACGCTGCTTACTTCGAGTGCCGTTAACCGCCGTTCTATTTCTGGGCCTAGAATATCATAAATCCTCCACATACGGATGCGGGTCGGTAAGGCGAGAAACAATGCGACAAGCGTCCGGAGTGGCCTCCATGTGAAGCGTATCAGTTTTACGACCGTCGGTATATTTGCTACGTACGCGATAGCTGCGTTGTGGAATTCGGCATTGCGGCTTAAGGATTGACCAACAAAGGCACGATTCATTACCTGGCATGAGACTTTATGTACCATGTTATGCACACAAATCTCGTGGAAATTCTCAGTGTCTATTCCTAAGAGGCTATCGACAGTGTACCGTATCTCGTCAAGCAGGGCTGGGAATAGGTTATAAATTTCCTTAGTCAGGACCGTGGGAGTGAGCCGATTCCGAATGAAGGTATATAGGAGGCGCTGATTTCGAAACAAGACATGATTAAGCTAGACATATACTTAGTACTGGTGTATTTTGGCTATCATATACAAAGTGCTTATACTTGGTCTTCTTCCTCCACGCAGTAGTTGACTTCAGATTCAGGCTGGCGGATAAGCCATCTGAACTCGCTAGCAGGCAAAAGCACATCTATAGGGGTGACAATCAGTGCTGGTTTCTTCATCTTAAGAGCAACGGCCCCCATTTAGCCCAAGTAGAAAGCTCTCGTTTTCGAGGCGGGCTGGCTACAAGACGAAATGGGAAAAGGGGGTATTTTAATTGAACTTACGGTCATTTATGCCAGCGACAGGCAATATACAGGTTTGGTGGCGGTAGTTGCTGTACGCAAACAATATAGCCGTCTTCGTGTCCCTTCGGTTCCGCCACCTGGCCCTCATGAGCGGGAACCATTCACCAGGTTTCGCACCAACGATAGGAAGGTCAGGAAGTCGTGATGACCCAAATATCCCATATACAAAGATAGCAACAAGAAGCACTGGTACAACTATCGCTGGGCTACTTGATATTTCTTCTAATGCCATAGTTAGATCATATAACTACCTACTTAACCTGATATAAGAAATAAGAAAACTATAAGACGAGAGTGATGGGGGAAAGATAGGAGACTCTGCTAAATTTTATAAGACCTTTGTACAAACGTATACAACATAACCATTTAATCAACTAGCTAGCTAACCTCTCACATACACATATTGAAAATCATTTTATAAAAATCTTGTTTTTAACTCTTTTTACCTATGTATCCGGGATGCGCGCATGCGACCGTACAATCTTCGACTAATATATCCAACCATGCAAAATCAATACAAGAATCAGCGTATAGGTCTTGCATTGTTAAACTACAAAAATGGCAAGGCCATCCGAGGTGTATAAGAATATTGCCACAAAGGCGTGAGGCGCGCATTTTGAAATGTGAAGTAAAAGCAAGGGAGGTTAGGACTTGTCACTTGTCACTTGTCACTTGTCATGGAGTACAAGGCGGTCCCGCATACTGCTGAACTACCTGACATACATGTAGTATTGTTCTTAATAGGTAGGTAAATATGAAAAACAGTGATTTGTATCAGTGCCGTGCAACCCTACATGAAAGAATGTATGATCGATAGTTGCCATCATTTAGGTCGGATAGATGAAGAAATGTTTAACGATTAAGTAAGTTTCATAGCTAGTGGTTTTTAAAAGACGTAGTTAATATTGAAGGAAATAGATGGATACATACATGTATGTTAGATGTATTAAAAATGCCTAAGGAAAGAAAGAAAGAAGACTACATACATGTAAGTTCAAGTAACTAACAGGTGAAGTTTAGAAAGTGGGACGCATACTATTATAATAACTTATACTCTCGCTGGGGAAAAAGCATGTAACTACAACGTCGTTCCACTTCTTCTAAACACATGACAATTATAATTGATATTTCTTCAATTTACATACAATGCAACCTAGTAGTATTGACATAACGAAGATATTACCACATTCCGGGATCATACGTAAGAGAAGCTATCTCCTAAGGCAATAAGCTCCCCTTAGTCCCCTTAGTTAAGAGAAACCTCAAGTTGTAGTTAGTTGAGTTATTAATATACTACTTCTAAAAGTGTTCATTAACATAGAGTAGGATAGGTAGGATAGAGACTGTAATCATATTTATCAGACCACATCCTCTTTCCTATTTATCACAATAACTACCTACCTAGGTACGTTTCCGCACTAAGCGAGAAACAGACGATTTTAAACGAAGCAAGGGCTTCAGGTAGATATCTACCCGCCTCATTACTAAAAACTGTACAGCCTAAATACCTAATTACCTACCTAACCTAACCTAAGCCTCGAACCATGCCTTTTCCTTTTTTACCTCCCCAAGCCCTAGATGCAAAATGCAATAGACCAATCCTTTTGTTGTTGTTCTTGTTGTTGTTATACATCCTATGATTCCCCCGCGAGCCCCCGAACAACGGCACAGGATAAAACCACCGCCCAGATACAAATCAAATCATATCATGACGAGGCTACCAAAACTCCCCTCCTCACCCTATGAAGTTAGAAGACAGACCATGATTACCTCCTGGTATCCCTATCCGTACGCCTAGCTGTACCCTCATGCAACTAGGAAATTCGTACCCCGTGACTCGTGATCCGTGATCCGTGACTCGTAACCGATTACCATATCCCTTCCGCCAGCTCCCCCGGGGCCCCCTACCCTACCGCTCGTCCAACAGCGCCCTCACCCTCTCCAACCTCCCCATCGCACCCTCCAACCTATCCAACCGATCCCTCTTCTCCACATCCCTGCGCTCCAGCACCGAGACCCGTTCCTCCAGCTTCGCGCGCGCCCTCCGCTCGCTCGCCACCATCTCGTTCGCCTGCTCGAACAGCGTCGCGCTCAGCTCCTCCACCTCCCGACTAGTATCCTGCAGCTTGCCCTCCGCCTTGGCCCGCAGCGCCCGCTCCCGCGACAGCGCCTCCAGCAGCTCGTCTCCGTTGGGGGGCTTGGGCAGCGCCGGCACCGGCACCGGCACCGGCACCGAGCCCCGCGCCGCTGCTAGGTTCGGCACCGACTTGCGCGGCGCGAGCAGCTGGCTTATGCGCGCCGCCGCGCCCGTCGGCAGGAACGACGAGCGCGGGCTGTTGCTGATCATGGTGGTGGTGGTTGCGACGGACGTCGTGGACGCGGCGCGCAGGCGCGTGAGCTCGTCTTCGTAGTCGGCCCAGCGGTCTACTGCCGCCGTGGCTTTCTGGTTGAGCAGGCGCACCTGGGCCTCCAGGTCTTCGATATGTTTTTGCGCTTGGAGGAGGGCTGTTTGCGCTTCGGAGGCGGGGGGCAGGGAAAGCCCGCAGTTTGGGCAGCAGGACGTGGTGGTGCTGGTGCTGGTGCTGGTGGCTGTCATGGTGTTGGATATGGATATCGGTGGGAGAGTCACTGTCATTGTGGCCATGTCGGCCGCGGTTAATGTGAGATTTAAGCCGGGTAAAAAGGTTCGCTTCGTTAGAGAAGTCGCTGTTAGTGTGGTGTGGTGTGGTGTGGTGTTTGTTCCGAAGTGCGGCAGATATGGCGAAGTGCGTTTGCTCGGGCTTGAAGTGTAGTGATATATCTAACCTAGTGATATAGGTATCGATGTTGTACGAGGGGTAAAAGGTAAAAAGGTGTGAGTCACTAGGTTAATGAATGAAGCGGCTTGGATTTAAGTTGATTTTCAATTGATGGTACGGTTGAATTTCTCGGGGTCCTTTTTCCTAGGTTAAGTGTTTTTATTATTGAATGTTTACGTGTAATTGCCCTTGTTATCGGGTCGCAGTCAACAAGATTAGGTACAAGATCAGGTATGCGGGATACGGAATACGGAATCTAGTACGGAATACTGCGGGCAGGAACAAGAATAAGGCTGGTAACAACCTAGCCTAACCTATAAGACGCCAAGTTATTTGTGGTGGCGGGGCCGGGTTTGTACATACATACGACTGGACCCTGCAGTAGCAATGCTGGCTGCGCCTTGCTATATTCGTCTTGCACGTACCTTAGGTATCTACGCGTGTATTTTTGGTAAGTGGGTACTTTATACGCGTATATTGTCTTGAATCCTTTTGTCATGTCCTTAATAGTACCTAAGGTTAATTGCTTTGAATTTTCCAAACAACTTTTTGCAATATTTTCTCGACTCGATTTAAATATTTTCCTTCTTCTAATAAAGTCTCAAATACTTCATTGGTATTTACACTGCGCATTAGTGGCGCAGCTGATTTAAGTACCTATGCAAAGGCGTATTGGGCCGTGACGTTGTGGAGGAACAACAAGCCCTATGAAACATCTTCAAACGGCAACCCATCGTTCATATTCAAAATAAGGGTTCATACCCACGTCCGTTAAGCGTTGCAATATTTCGTAAGGACAACCCATTTTTATTCGACACAAAGAATCGAGTTTCATATGACTGTCTCCTATTTCCAAGTCTCTGGGTTTTTATCTTGTAAGCTATCAGACTCGTTGGTAAGGTACTTGTGTGTATACATGCAGCTTATATCGTGGCTGGTGCTAGTGTAATACTCACGATAGACGGTCTGGCGGTTGAGACAGTATGCCACTGCATATATATACCTACCTAGCTTAGGAGTAGGTTAACATACCGAGACTCATACCCGGTCTAGCTCGATACGCTCGAACAGACGTTAAATTTCTCTCGAGTCGAAGAACTAGAGATATACCATCTTATAATCCTCCATATAGGTATCCATCAGAGCGTCGCCACAGTGATATCTTCCAGTCGCAGATTGTAACTTTTAAACGCCTATTAAAACAATCCGAGTACACCAGATTGATATTTGAATTGGAGCAAAATCCATAAGGGACACTTCGGTAGTTTCTAGGCCATAAGCCAGCTCGAAGTGCCTGGTGGTATAAGACCGTTCTTAACCTTGGGACCGTAATAAAGTAGTCACGAAGCTCAAAACGGCTTTGCGACCTTCCGGGGCTCGCCAAGGCCAGTCTCCGGGTCTTTATACTCCTTCCAGCTGACGGGAAACATCGGGTTCCCAGCTTCGCTCGTAGCCATGATGACGCCGAGTTCGTTGCTCGCGGTCGAGAGGTAATAATTAGCCTGGTCGCCGAGTGAGATCTAGTATTCGCCGCAATGTGTTAGCCGACATAGGCTCTTCTCATCCAACCTGTTGATATATATAGGTATGTATATGTGTGCATGCACTTACCACCTGCGCCCTCACGATATCGCCCGGCCGGAAGCTCTCGTATATCTTGACCCTGTCCTTCTCCGTAGCTCGGACATCCTGCACCCGGACCAAGCCCTGCCACTCGGCCTCGAGTACCGTGTCGCCGACGACGAGGATCGCAACCGATGCGTGCTTCGGCGTGATGCGCGTTACGCGGCATAGTACCACGTTACCGACTTCGGGTAGGACCTCGCGCTTCTCCGAAACACCTGAGCGCGAGACTGAGATCGTGGGTAGGGTATTGCTGCTGCTGCCGCCGCCGCTGTTATTGTTGCTGCCATTATTGCCCGCCGCCAACGCTGTAATCCTCGTCAACCTCTTCGCAGGCCCAGGCACCTTCTCAGGCTGCGCGACAGCGACTGTGCCCAGCAGCGACGAGTACAAGTTCGCCTCGTGGATATGCGTCCCGGCGCCCGCGGAGTACTTATCCGCAGGGCCAAGAAGCTGCCCAGGAACCGCAACCGCAACTGCCTGCGTCATCTTTCGCGGCACAGCAGTGGGATACCTATGTTGGGTTGGATCGGAAATTCGAATTGGAGCGCGGGTTAAGAAATGTCGTCGGTGTGATTGGCGATGGAAGCGGGTTACAAGACGGACTGGCTCTGCTCCGAGATGCACTTGTGAGCCGATAAAACTTTAGATAAGAGATTAAAAGTACGAATACGATGCCGGTACGCATCCGTTGTGTTTCCTGAGATGGTGCGATCCCGGCAGTCCGGTTTACCGTGATCCACTTTTGAGCTGAGCTTAGACCCCTATTTTAATAGGTACGTACCTATCAAAAATTTCTATTATAAATTACATTTTAATCTTTTTTTTCTTTTTAGCTTCGTTAAATTTCCGAGATAAGTCGTAGGAGCTTGACGTCTACCTTTGTATTAAAGTCGGCGTGCTGTTGTTTTGTTTTCTGTTTGTCTTGTCGTTCTCTGTGTCTTCCCGTCCTTGAATTGCATAGCAATGGCGCCTAATACCTCAACTCCAGGCGGTTTCGCCAGGTTGCTCACTATAATCGGTGTGTTAGTCGGCATATTCACACCGATTGTCTACCTCCTCGAACGCAACCTCGAGAACTTCTACATCTTCAACCTAGAAGAGCTGCAAGACGTAGCCTCGCGCGGCATCCAGGCTCATGGCAACGATACCGCTAAGATCGTAGACTATATCGTCGCCGAGCTATACCAGAACCACCCGGAGCACGTCAACCCTAAGTGGAACGTCACTGAGGAATGGATGTTTAACAATGCCGGCGGTGCCATGGGTGCTATGTACCTTATCCACTCCAGTAAGTAATTTTTCGACTACTAATTTCTAGTTCTCGTCGCTCTTCGCTCTTCGCTCTTCGCTCTTCAACCATTGACCTCTCAATATTAACTCCTCTTCAGGCATCACCGAGTACCTAATTATCTTTGGTACCGCGGCCGGCACGGAGGGCCACTCGGGACGACACACAGCGGACGACTACTTCCACATCCTAACGGGCGAGCAGTGGGCATTCGTACCCGGCAAGTTCGAGCGCGAAGTCTACCCAGCTGGCAGCGTGCACCACATGCGCCGCGGCGACGCCAAGCAATACAAGATGCCCGAGAGCTGCTTCGCGCTCGAGTACGCCCGTGGTTGGATCCCGCCTATGCTGTTCTTCGGCTTCGCCGACGGTGTGTCTAGCACTCTAGACATACCGACTATGTACCGCACCGTAGTCATCACCGGTCGGGAAGTGATCAGGAACCTCTTAGTTGGGAAGATCTAGATGGGGGCATTTCCGGCTAATCCGGATTCTGTTACGAGCTATTCCAGAGTTGTACGGAGAGCTTTGTTTCTGCAAGCCTGCTATTTACCTAGTACTATAGAAAGCTAGAAAACGATATATTCTAAAAATGTATCGTGTCCCATAATGATAATACAACTCTACCCCCCCAAACACCGATTCAGCACATATATCGTAATGAATGCCATATTAAAAACTCTAACTACCTAGTTATAACATTTTCGCATAACTAGTTCGGATTTTGAACGTTTAAGAATGTTAACCAATCAAATTTAGACAAATAAAGCCCCTGTGTCTGTTTCGTTGGCATACCAGGTCCATGTCTTCTAAGAACCCGAGAAGACGTCTATTCCGAATGATATTTCATTCTACATCTCATAAAACCCAAGCAATGCTCTCCTAAACGCAGTACTCCTTTCCGGTGTAATACTTGGTAACTAAAGTGCAACGCGTAGCTTTATGATAAAACGCCTTCACAATGAAATGCCCCTATAATACCAGTTCTATCGCCCTATGCAATCGCCACGTAGTGTTTCCTCCACAGATCTACTCCTTCTAGTTTGGTCGTCCCAGACTCTAAACCCGAGATATCCTCTAATATCCTCCAGTCATAAACGCCCACCCACTCGCGTTCTCCGTTCTTTTTCTTCAAGCCAGCTTCTCCTATGCTTTTAACAAAGGATGATGTGGCATCTACCCGTCTTGATTCGACGAGACAGATCTTGCGAACTCGGGACTTTCGTGTCTTTCCTAGCGAGGCATCCCATTTATATGCAAAGCTGGGCGTAGGTTCCTGCGACCACATCTTGGGATCCGTTAGGAAGGTATCCACCCCATGGCCCCGTAATAGATTATCGGTCACCCATGCATACTGCGCGATACACGGCGACAGTAGAATAGAGCGGTTGGCAAGCACACATTTCTCCTTGACGAGAGAGCAATGTCTATGTGCCAAGCACTTCCCTGACGAACGTTTGTCCTGTGTAAGACTAGTAGTTACTTCGACGTTGGAGATGGTGGGCGGTTCATCAGGAGAACGTACAGCTGAACCGTTATTATTATTATTATTATTAATCGGCGACATTACTAGTTGAGCTGCTGGCGAGTTAGATAGAGATTTTTCTAACACTTGGGTTTGCGAACTTGTCATGCGATTTCCGAGGGATGGGTTAGTATCGATCTGGCTAAGTGGCTGCCTGTTCCTTGGAGTATTTGATGGTGGTTCATTGGGACTATCCGTTGACTGTGACTGCCGAGAGGATGCATTTGGGGATAGTCGTGGCCTTTTTGGAGTCATTGCTGCATCTGAAGTAGGTCTCCTTTTACGCCCTCCATGCATTGGAGATTTCTGAGAAACATCAGTAGTGGTACAATGCTCTTCACCTTCAGTAACTGGTGGCTTTGGAGAGGCTATTAGGTGCCTGCTTGTCTCTACTGTATCACAACAAGATAAGAGGCGCTGTTCACGGGAGTGTACTCGTTTACAAGATTCCTGAATCGATATGCTTCGGGGCTCCTTTTCTTGACTAGTCTCATCGGAGGATGGCCTTGGAGGTGCTCTCGGTTCAGTTCCATTGCTCTGCTAGCTGATGACATCCACAGCAATCCCTCCTGGGTCTGCCTTTTCTAATGCTGATATCCACTTGCGCATCTCCTGACTATCTTCAAGCTCTGGTATTTCTGTTGAATTTGAGGCCAACTCTTGGAGTTCCGTAAAACTAATAGTATCCAAGTATGATCTATCATGGTGTATTTTGGAGACCGATGGGAACCTCATGCTCCAGAAAGTCGTGTTTGGTGATTTGTTGAAGGAGAAACAACGCATGTCGAACACTAACGGCTCTAAGAATATATCATCCGGTCGCTTGTCTACCCTCCCTAGTTTAAAGTCCAGGATTATAGACTCATTCGAGTCGAACGGGATCGGGGATGGAAAACATTGAGTCATAACCGTCCATAAAAGGGCCTCGGAAAGCTCGACGACGTTAGTAACTATAAATCGAGGCTTTTCAATTCCTGCTCGTGCTTTCTCCTTGTTGTCTAGACACCCAATAAAGAAATGAGTCCATTTAATGTTGGGCTTCTTATATTCTTTTACTTTTGCTGCATCATAAGAGGCACCAATTACCGAAAAGTCTCCGACGTCTCCCCAACCTTGGACGTATTCTTTCTTTAATTTAATATTGCAGCAGCTGAATGACTTTTGTGCTGTGCTAAAGTTGAAGTACGGTTCATCGGGCTTCAGGACAAGGCCTTCACCTCGAGCTACGATGCATTTCGCAAAAGCTTCACGTAGCCTTGACGCAGCAGATGGCCGACCAAAAGATATCGTCTCACGGGGTACTAGCTCAGCACAGCCCTTCCGACAAGTAACGAGATCACTCAAACGTCTGAAGCGCTCGAACTGTCGTACTCCTAGTAACGATTCATCGTCGATCAGCAGTACGTCGAAATATACTATCATCAAATGCTCGTAATCGTGAGGCCTATTTCAAGTTTAGCTAAGGGTATCGAACTATTGAAGCGCCATGCCATACTGAGAGTCATAGCTAGTCCCTATAAAGGAACCAGAGCGTGAAACGTGCTTGCGAATTTTATGGAATGGCAATGTCTTATTGTCCTATCGTTCCGGTCAGCGTCCACTTCTCAAAGTCAAAGGGCATCTTAATAATACTTGAGTACTGTATACTACCATTTCCCCCTCGAGAATACACCCGGTTTTAAGGGGGCAGTCTGATGTTCCAAGTTTCAACGAATCTCGTATGACCCTATGCTTAGTTAATAAAGCGGCAAGAAAGGGGATTGGACAATGGCTTACTGTTGAAGGCCAATTCGATCCTGGGTGCTATCTTTCCCGCTCTTGGAAAATATCTGGATAGGAGAACAACGTTTGCGGAGATCGATGTGTATTTGACAGTACTCCCCATCAATCTTCTGCTCGCAACTCATATCCCGGGATTTACCCATATCTAGACAATGCTTGATACTTCTCCCTTTGAGCCATGTTTGCCGACCAACTTTCGTCCCGATAGCTGGTTTCAGCATACTGACAATGGCGTTTTGGTCGCATGATGGCTGACTGATCTGCCGTAAGAAGGTAGTGGCTATAGTAAAATCATCCCTCACCTTCATCAGCTGAGGTAGGAGATCGTTATAGCAACGAAATATGAGACGTTCATCTATAACTACCGGCTGGTAGTTCTTTAATACTAGCCTTGTAACCCATTTTGCATCGCGCGGACTGAGTTGCCTGTAAATGGTGACCAGAGATCGATCCTGGTCTCTAGAGTCTTGAGTCCTACGCGAAGCTCTAACTGAAGGCGAGCTGAATCGACAGGCTGCTGCAATGCAGTTTAGAGTGTCATCGATCTCTTCTACTGTGAGTCCACTGCAATCTTGTGTATCATTAGGCTTTGGGGTGTTAGCGACTTGAATATTGGGTTGGGTTGCTATCATTAACTGGGAAGGGTATCCTACCGTACGTTTTAAGATACCTTCAATACAATCAGCAAGGTCTACACCCAGACCAGGAGTCCTATATCTTCGGAGTTCTTGTAATCGCGAGGCTCCTAGAAGCAAGGCTTTACCAAATATACTTTCAAGCCTTGCAGCTTGGATAAGGTAGACTCTGTCTGTCCTTCTTTCTGGTAGTAAAGTGGACAATATGGCGCTTGGATCATTTTCGGGTGCATCGAGACTCGAACGATGCTCACGAAACCACGTTTCGATTATGCTCCTTGCAGGAGTCTGTCTATGCTCGTTCTTGCGAGACTCATTTTCAAGTTGTTGGAGCAGATCGCATATATATTTGTACGGGAAGGGCATTGCAACCGCAATAATTTGCATATAAAGAGACAAATTGCAAAAATGCAAATGTGCAAAAAAGAATATGGCTCCTCGCGCGATGAAATATAACTACGGAAAGAAATAGTCGACCTTCATAATCATGTTCATAATTATACGCTCATATTCATAGGTAGCAGAAAGTGCATTGTTTCTGACGTGTAAGAAGGAAAGTCCTTATGATGCCTGACGTTCTTAGTTTTGTCGATTGCAGATTGTTCAAAGGGTCACAAAGACACCAACATTGAATTGTGCAGGCACTTACAAGCACAAACCTTATGGCGCTTGATTCGGAATGAAGGATACATATGTGGATACATATGTGTGTGCAACGCGACATAGCACACGGGTGTTCACGTGAGACATTTTAGGTTAGGTAGTTAGTTTCGGTATGTACTTCGTACCTACCTTGTGAAACTGGCCATTCCATGTTACACGTGTATGTACATACGGTACGGTACTTGAAGCATAGCAGCACTGAAATCTCCACTCGCTAAGCAGGCGCCATTCATTTAGTCTATGCAGGATCGAGACTTGTAGGCCAAAAACATCGTCCCAATCAAAACTGTTGAAATCTTGCAATCTTGCAATTTTCCGCAGTTGACGGACTCTTGCCCCTGAATCCTGAATGCACAAAACAGCCCATGCAGCCATGAGATGAGCGGACGATTGATTTTGTGGGGTCTCTCGGCCTTGTTGACCAGGGATCGAGAGAAACAATCAGTCCAAAATAAAGGCAACGAAATGAAATTAAAGCAAACCTCAGACCCGATTCCGTTTGCCATCGAATTCCCTGCTGCTATCCTCCTCAATCTTCCTACATACTTAATAATAAAAACATATCTTGTTTTTCCCTCTTTTCCATCTTTTGGCCTAACTGATCTGCTGTTTTTCAACCGTTCGGACCTTCGAATGTCAACATTCTTTTACAGCATAACCTAGTGTATAATCGGTATAATCGATATAATCGGTATAATCGGTATAATCATATATTCTAATCCTATTCCATAATCTTCTAATCCTATCCCTCTTTTGGAAGATATGGGCTCCCTTGGCCCTGGTCAACCCCAGCACATTCACTTATCATTCGCCGCCTAACAAGGTCCAGCTACAACGCCCCCCCTTCCTCCCCCCTTCCTACCCCCCCGGACGACGCATACAGGTTACTTCCATTGGCTCTCCTATTATAGCAAAGTCCGTGTGGTGCTGCGTACCCCCCAATTTCCCAGCTTCTCAAACGAGCTCCAGTCTTCCGCCCTGAATTTTGGTCCCCATCTGCCTCTAGGTGGATTATGTATTCTTATGTCTATGAAACCCGCTCAACTTCTACAAATTTGCTTGATAACTACTCGTTCCAACCCTCTCTTCAATGACAAGAGATTTAACAATATAGTTTCTGCTTTATATTCTAGACGCTCTTTTATCGGGAGGACTAGGCACCGTCGTGCCATTTCGTCCCCAGCCACTCCTTTACTAAGGCGGCGGTCAACAGAAAACTTCACCGCACAACTTTCATACTCATACTCTCCTTCATACTCCTCTTCATCGCACAAAGTTATCAAACCTTTTACCGGGTCAAATATGACTCGCAGTCTACAGGACTCCGCTCTTTCGCTAGACGCGGTTCTAACCTCGACCCCTAACATGGCTACCAGTGTAAACTCCAGTGGCCCAGCTCCAGCATCGCCACGTGCTACAGGTGGCTATCCAGAGAGTACTGGAGAAAGCGGAGCGGCGGACGGGGACGGGGACACATACTCGAGCTCGATGCCTTCTCCACCGTCTCTAGGTGAGACATCTCGGACGAGATCCACGACGAGGTCCACTCGTTCTACCTCGACAACATCGCGAAATTCAAATCGATTATCATTAACTTTGCCGATCGCGCCGCCTGATAGTATCCCCTCGAGGCCCACACCCACTTCCTCCGTGCCGCCAACTCCAATCCAGACCTCGGCTTCAAGCCAGCTTACCGACGCTAATGATTTTATTATTGCTATCGCCGCCCAAGAGCGTCGCGTGCTAGAACTTCGCGAAGAGCTAGCGCGAGCAGAGCATGACCTCAAAAGACTGAAGAAGCAGTGGACGGTGTCAGATGGTTATAAGAAGCGTGCATCTGCCAGAAATATTGAACCTCTTCGAACCGCAAGTCTGCTAGATGGGCAATGGAGTCATGATGACCCAACAACTATTAGATACACCAGTGAGCTAGAGCGTAGGAAGGCTATCCTTCTTGCGCAGAGCAAGGCAGCACCTCGAGACACTAAGAGGACAGTTATCCGTGGCGGGCATACTCGTGCTTTATCCTTACTTTCACCTACGTTGCCCCCGAACGGAGATGACACGCCCCGATCGGCTGATCTATACTCGAGAATGTCGCCTGTCTCTACTCCTCTTATCAACAAGCGCGCAACTTGGGCTCCCCGTCAAAGTCAACCGGCTAACGGTATGAAGCAAATCGCAAATGATTTTAAGCAAGGCCTCTGGACATTTGTCGAAGACATAAGGCAAGCAACCGTGGGGGATGAAGCGATTTCCGGGATAACAAACAGGACAAGTGATATGGTTTCAAGGCTAGGTAAAACAGAGAGCGAACAGGATACCATTCGAGCATCTACATCGAGCCGCGGCAAGATGCCATTCCAAGACGATTCTGATTCGGCAACGGAGGCACCGAGCAGACAACCCACCGGTAGTTTTAGCAACCGTTCGCAGCACAGACATACGACATCGAAGGTAGAACCTAAAGCGCGAAAACATTACTCCTGGACACCTCTCTCATATGATAGCTTCGATGACGACGATTGGTCGAACTGGGATACGCCAAATGTCAAGACAGCCCGCTGGAGCGGTAGCACTGTAAACGGGGATATCACCGCAATTCCTGAGAAAATTGGCGAAAATGAGGGGACACTGTAAGACAACCATTAATAAGACAACCAACACACTGTGCAAGGCACACCATTGACCCGTTTCAGCCCACCCAATACCCGGAATGCAAAGCGTATCTAACCGCAGCAGCAGGAGACGCAAGCAATCCCGCAGCGAGTTACGATCGCCATCCCCAGAGACTCCAAGTAGGCTAGAAGAATTACCACAGGCCATCCTCAACCGACTGACTCCCAGTAACATTAAGAACACGACGTCGAACTTCATCAAGGAATGGGAGAAGAGCTTGTCCCCGCCTGCGGAATCTACTTCTTTCTGAGTTAACCCCCCGAGACCACGGCGGAACCCGAGTTCCGAGCACACCAGTTTCAATTCTTGATATATGCGCGGAAGAAGCATTGCGTAGACGCACCAAGACTCGGATTTCAGAGGCTTGCCTACAGTTTAGGATAAACGAAATATCCCCGACGGAAACTTCGACGCCGCTTTACATTCTTATAGATACCTACAATTACGTTCAGAGCGTCGTGAAGACCGGGGCTCTCAGGCGCGGGATTATTTGTCGATCGAGTTCGGCGGTTGTGGGATTAAGATTTTGGGAATACGGATGGATGCATCGATTTTTTGGCCACGATATTATCAAATTCTAGCGGCGCTCCGAGTTAAAGGGTAAGGAAGGAATAGAGGCCCCCGCGCCCATGGGTTTTTAGGTAATATCTAATGATCACGACCGCTCATGAATGATAGACGACGATGATGTAGAACGAACGAAATAGACTCGTTTGTTATCGTTGTCAATTGTCATACTTACAGTATAGTACAAGTATATGGGCTCTTCTAGACTAACCTGGTTCTTGTAAGGCGAGTCTGGGTCTTGTGTCTAGTTAAATATAGCGCACATTCTGAAGCGTTCGTGTAAATTTGTGATTAGTTTATGTGATGATAGTGATATTTGTAGTATTGGCATTTCAGGGGCGTTTTTCCTAGTAATTACACGATATAAAAGATCACATGTATGAGCCTCATTTTCAGTCCACTCCTAGTGCGCCTACTCGCTAACATATACAATGAGTTAAGACTGTATCCATTTCATGCTATCAAAACTATTCGCTTAGTCGATTTCTGTTACATCCCGGAAATCTGGCCACATATATACATTGCCTAGTTTTGAGTTGCGTGGTTATATGCAAGTCCCCGACGCCTAGCTGATGCAACAAAAAAACAAATACGTTTCTCGTGAATAACGCCGCGCTATTTCTATACATGTCCCCACGTAAGAAGCGATATATATCAAAGCTACCCAAGTTAAATCTCCAGATGGCCAAATTGTACCTACGCCTTCACGGCAGCGGGTGTGTCGGGAAACCCGTTCCAGGATTCCTCATCGGCATCTTTGCTCTTAATATCCAAGTTGGCGGCTTCTTGAGACGCGGGTAAGCTTGTAGCTAGGGCAGCTTGTGCTACGTCTGCTGAGCTACCACCTCCCTCTATCTCTTGCGACTTTGTGCCTTTTACTTCCTCGGATTTGACATCTTGGGTTGGAGAAGAAGATTTTGGAGTTGGTAGCGTTGGTTTTTTACTTGTTAATATATCCTTTGTGTTCGTGTTATCAGGCTCCTTGGATATGACTGGAGACGCAGATCGATCTCGCTTCTCATTATTGGCTACCGGTAAGACCGGCTTAGCTCTTAGAGCTGCCTGGGAGGACTTGCTGCGCGGTTTGTTGTTCCACTGAAATAACATATCCTTCACTTGAGGGGCCCATACGGATTCTCCCTTTGCCAGATCCGAATATTCTAAGCAATTAGAGCTACCTAGGACGAAATCACCTTGCCGACTTCTGCAAAGCTCTGCCATCATTGCCGCAGATCCAATTTTCACGCCTAGGTCATGACAAAAACTCCTGACATAAAAGCCTGAAGTTACAGTCATTCGAATTTTTGCTGCTGGCGGACCTTTATCCTCCCAAGGTGGGGGTGTGTCAGTATCCGAAGTTTCAGGAATCAAATTTGATCCCTTTCCCGGCTTCGGGGTCGCTGGAGGAAGGTCACCGAGCGCTCCCGACATCAACGGTGCATGCTGCGAAGTCTTCCGACGCTTGTTAACCCTGTCGTACACGAGCGCGTCGACGGTTTCGTCAGACTTCCGTTTGAAGCTCTCGTGCTCATTCAAAGCCTTCGTCTCTTGTTCCTCTTCTTCGGGGCTAAGTTTCTTGGAAGTCATCTGCTGCTTTTCGATCTTCCAGACCTGCTCGGCGAAGTTGCGCTCGAATGTGGTAGCTTCCTCAGCAGGCCAGCGATGGGAATGTTGACCGGGTTCGCACCATTCGACCAATTCGAGTTCAGTCACCTCCACTTCTCTAGTTGCAATTTCTCGCGGGATCGGTTTACCCTCTCTTGCGTATTCATAAAGAGGCTTCCCCTCCATCTTTAATGCTGAATAAAGAGGTGGCATCTGTTGGAATTTTCCACGGAAGGAGTTGAGCGCCTCTTCAACCATAGGCCGAGTGATATGGTCATATGCTGTCTTCTTGAGGATCTTACCGACCCTATCATACGTATCGGTGCTGGCACCAAAAAGCACCACAGTCTCATATGTTTTGGTGCAATCCAAGAAAGACTGGAGAGACTTAGTACCCTTACCAACACCCAGAATGAGAACACCAGTGGCAAGCGGGTCAAGTGTACCACCATGGCCCATTTTGACTCGAATGTCATTCTTGCCAAATCCACGCCGCTTTCGTCTAGTATTGGACTCTTGCGACCTGGCTGCCCTCTCTTGATCTATCATTGGCTTGAAAAATGTAGAGGGGTTAAAGTGGTGTTGGCAGTCCCTAATAACCTGAGCGGAGCTCATACCCATAGGCTTATTGATGCCTGTGCCATAAGAGATAATGATATTAGCATAACCGTGGATAAGATAAACTACAGTTGAAGTAAGAGTAGGTAGTTAAATTGAAAATTCATACCGAAGACACCATCAAGGACAGTGCTAGGAGCTGCCATTCTGGCGAATCTAGCAGCTTTCATTCGCGAGTGATGTGCGTTGAAAAAAAGATAAGACCATCCAATACAGTAAATTCAATCTAGAGACTTGGTAGTCTTTACGGGTTGTGAGCTGCCTTATGGTGAGGCGCAAAATGAAGGCTGTTGAATTTGATTGAAGGAGAATGCAAGGGTCTGGAGAACGGAACTTGGGCCAGAAAAAAAATTCGAAGAGCTGCTAGAGGATATAGTTAATCGACAAGGTTCAATCCAATGAATAGCAGCTCTTATCGATTAGCTACTGCAACTAAAACCATCCTAGATAACCCCACCATCAATACTTCTAGACGTCATTGGTCAAGGCTTCACTCAACCCACCTGGATAGGGCCTATGCCGGCTGGCAGCTGCACCAATGTGTCACTACCTTAGTATTCTCAATTAACAGCAAGTACGATACGCGTGCTACTGCCACCGAAGCGCGTCCCGACTTCCTTAGTAAATCGTGGTAAATGTTAAAATATTTACCACTTGCCGTCAGCCGTAGATCTTTTTTAGCTACCTAACTTTCTTTTCGTCACAAACAATAACAACAACAACCTCAACTCTCCTTAGTAGGGAAACCGTAACCCGTTTTCAATATGAATTAATGCGCGCCGGTATTGCGTTATTTCTCTTTTTGCCTAACAACCTACCGATTTACGGATTTACCTGATACGAGATAAAACCAATCCTCTTTCATGCCATCGCGCGCAACCAATTTCATTGTTCTATCCCTTGAGCCCCGACTCGCCTGTCATCATGGATGATCGTTGGGGAAGAAAGCAGTCGGACTCAACGGTACAAACTGTTGACGAAACTGCCTTAGAATACTATAGAGAAGACTCGGTATTAAAGCCTGTCTCTGCTCACATCCACACCGACGACTGGCCCTGTTTTCTACTTACCAGCGCCACGATATTCCACAAGGATGGCACCTTGGCAAACCTGCTGCATGTTGATTTAGAAGGTCCGTTGATTGTTCGTGGAAAGCTTGAAATCGAAAAGGATCAGGAAAGATTCCTTGTCAATCGGCACATGAAGAATCGTTCACCATATATCCAACTTCAGGATACGTTATCCTTCTCGATCGGCCTCAAAGAAGATAGGCCTCCCATGCCGGTGCTGTGGGCTAGTGGCGGAGCAGGTTGGTATGAGATTGTCCCGTCTGATACGTATAAGGACATATGCAACACTATGTTTCAGGGCATTTCTCTTCACTATGCGATTCTAGATCAGTACGAAGTTGCACTAGAGAAGCTTCAAAAGACAAAGAAAAATAGGAACAAGACACTTAGTGACGTCAAGTTGGTCTTGGACGACGTTCTTATTAAGGTGTGTGCATATGTAAACTTGGCTCTTTGAATCTATATCTGACCTGATATGCAGTATGCAGTAAATGTCGGCGATGGTATCACGTCTGCCGAAGCCTCACAACGGATCAAGGATCAGGCAGTTTTCTTACTTTGTCATTTCCCTAAAGACACTGAATTTCATCGCACCTTGGCAGAAAAATACCCTGTAAGGCTATCTCAAGTTAATATTCGACTACCATGGTCTAACCCCACATACAGGATATTGTGCAACAACTTGCCGCCAAAGAGTCCAGTGATGCAAAGGCAGCTACAAGCTCAGAACCTAGCACTCTAGTCGCAGTTCCCTATCGAGATCAAGAGAAGTCTAGTTCTCTAGAAGCCACCAGCAGTAAAAAAAGCGGTAGGCCTTCATTGCGGAATTCTGCCTCCAGATTTCAACGAGACAGCGAGGCCATCGAACGCCAAGTGGCCGAGACAATAGAGGCTTCGAAACGCCTATCAGTCCAGCCTACCGTAAACAAACGGGAGCTACCTGTGAATATCCTGCCTGAACCTGCCAATAGTTCTGACCCCGATCTAATTGTGGTTGGTTTCCGCGCCAAATACAACCGGCCAAGGGAATACCATAACGCGGACAAGCAACTTGACAGTGCAGCTGAGGAAGATACATCACTCCCATCCTCAAACAAAGACGCAAACCCAGGCGCAAGTTCCAACTCGGAGATTAACCCATCCGTATCTGCCATCATTGGAGTCTTGCAAGATTACCGGCAGGAGCTACTTTCACTTTCAGGTAATAAGACAAAGCACCCTGATGAGGTGACTGTCAGCACTTGGCACAGTAAACTTTATCGTGGATTAAGTGTTAAAAAGCCTCGTGCACTAGCTCAGGTCTGCATATACTACGCCCGGGATCTTTTGCATTTCCTTGGACCAGAGTGGCACCCCAGCAAATTTTACAAGTGGCTGGAGGAAAACGTTGACATAGCACCCAACTTTGAGGACCTGTCTGAAGATCGGATGAAAAATATTGTCAGACGCAAGAAGAAAAATCAACTTCCCCACAACGATCAATCTTCTCACGAGGACCAACCTTACGAAGACCAGTCTTACGCAAATCAATCCTCTGTCCCCAACCAACCATCCCAGGCAACTCCATCTTCTTACTCAAGTCGTATTTCTCGCGCAAGTCGTCCTTCTTACTTGAATCAACCATCCTACGAGCTCCCTTTCGCCATGGAGTATCAGGAAGAGAAGGTCCAAGGACAACAACCTCCCAATAGAGCTCGCACCGGCGGTAAGGTAGCAGGCCTGCGTCCTTCTGTTGGAGGTAAGAAACGACTACGACAGGATTTCAGCCTTGGCGATGAAATGGAGCTGGACGAGGACGGACCGCAGAAGAATGCATCTAAGAAGTCACGCTATCCTTCCACGGAGGACGACCACGATGAACACAACGAGGAACGCGGGGCAACCACTTCATCAGGCAACGAGTATAACGCAGAAGATGAGGATGCTCTGACAGCCGGTACAGTTGGCCAGTCAACCAAGCCTCTGAAGCCCAATAGAAATGGCGTGGACGATGCATGGTATTGCGAAGAAAGTGGCTGCGACTTCGTCGTTCACGCTAACAATGAGGATGATGCTGAAGCCCTTATTATGCCCCATTATGAATTGCATCATAAGGATGCTCGAACCAAGAAATACGCATCCCAGAAGTTGAATCTTCAAAACATAGTTCGCGAGGAGTCTCTCATAACAGGTGGTCTCCCTGTTGGGTATGTTATCCTTCCTTGCTCTTGGATTAGATTTCGTTATTTAACATTGTACACAGCTTTTTACTTAAGAAGATCGGCCGATATACTGCAGCTTTGGAGAGTCTCGATGAAGAAGAATGCAAGAAGAAACTAGAGGCAGAACGTCAAAGTCGCAGATCAAAGCCTCAAGGACAGAAGTCACAACTTGAAGGTCAAGCAACACAGCTTCAAGGTCAGGAGAAGCAACTTCAAAGCCAGGAGATGCAATTTGATGTTGAAGCAGTGCCGGAGCCTAAGGAGCGCGACACCCTACAATAGATTCACACTCTTGCATAAGCACAACAATACAACGACACAATGACATAACGGTTCTTTCTTTTTTGCGTTTGAGGTTCCTAATTACCGACAATTGGAGCCTGTATATGAGACGAGACCTTGACATGGGACAACATTCACAACAGGCATTCACAACGGACGGATGATACCCCTTTGCATTTAAAACGGTTGCTTGGCGTTGGTGAAATTTGTGTTTTCAACTTTCAATAATATGCCCCCGGAGGCAATCTGTGTTTTCCTTGCAACTCATTCGACAAACATTTTGCGCGTTTTTCTGATACTTTTCCGATGCAATACGAGCCCATGTGGCATTTTGCGCTGATCATGGTTTGTCCAAGAGGCACTTTATGATTTCTATGATTTACTCGAAAGCAATATCCGAGTCTAAGAAGGAGACACATTGTGTTTTCGACAACTTATCTAGGCACTTTATGCGCCTGATATACGCCTTGTGTTTCTTATGATTCACTTAAAAGGCAATATTTGAGCCTGGAAGAGGCATTTTGCGTGTTTTTCGATTCCTCAGAGACAATCTCTGAGCCCTTAAGGCATTTTGTGCGTATGATTTTAATGGCCTGTCAAAGAGGTACTTTGCGTGTTTCACGACTTGCCCTCACCTGAGAGGCATCTTGTCTATACTCGTCTCTTGCGTATGATACCTAGGACGAGGTTCACTCTGAGCTCGAGCTTGGCATATGCTTGCACATAGTTGCACATAGTTGATTTTCGAATCGACTCTGCGATGCCTTACTGTACTTAGCTACTTGCAATTGTTTTTTTTTTTTTTGGTGCGATTGAGTTTAATAATGAATGACTGCAACTGATACGCAAAGAAAAACAAAAACAAAAATAAGATTGTATTTGAGATATTCTCGGTGTCTTCCTGAAATTGCACTGTCCTTGATCTTGATGCTCCGTGAACTTCGTGATGGTAATAATTGGTGTTGATTCACACTACATAGCTCACTTAACATTCCTACAAGAACCCTTTGTAGTCACTAGGTTTGTTCACGACCCCTTTCCAAAGAAACCCAATCTATTTACTAGTGAATGCCTTATTATTTAGGGAGTAGCATGGCTTAACATTAGATCGCAGTAGTTAGCATAGTCTGTTCATGATGACCCAGAACAGCATGTCTAAAATCTGTAAGTATTATATGCCAAATCGTAGAAATAACTTATTAATTTCACACTCTTCACTCTACAATATACGATAATCGACAAATAAATGGATGGGAAAACATTAAGGGCAAGGTGCTCACAATAGAACCAAGTACACTCTTCACTCATCCTTCTTATATAGGAGGTACCTATGGTAGATGTTATGGTAGCCCTCTGTTTCAACACCTGTCGCCTAAATAAATATCCAAAGATTGCAACCATAAGCCTAACAATCCTTCTACTCTCCCAATCATCATCAAACCTCTATCTTCCAACTGCAATCTACCAACTCTGCCCCTTCATACTACACGTATTGAGCTAGTTTATGCTAACAGACCATTCAGCATGTACTTCAACCTAGCAGTGTTGCAGTTTGTGGTAGGGTGGGTGTTAGGTTGGGTCGATGAATGAGAGCAAGGGGGGCGGTCACAGTACTCTTAAGAGAATAAAAACCAATTGGTATGTACCTGTGTTTTTTTACACTAACCCATACCCTTTCTAGAAGCGCTTGTTTTACTTATAATGAGGTTCGTTACCTTATATATTAATATTAAAAGTCCTCTTAGAACAAGCGTTATAAGCTAGGTTAAAGAATACGGGATCCTTAGGCTGCATATACTGATACTTATTTTTATTTATTTATCTAGTAGTTTTAACTAGCTATATAGCAATGGGGATCATCCATCTCTTGAGCTCTTGACTACTTCTGCCTGCAAAACTTACATGGTAGCCACTTAATGACCCTCTCCGCAGGTTGGTTTAAAATACTTGTGACTTGGTATCGGAGATAAAAGGCCTCTGAAGTAGTGGACCTTCCCTTTTTTTCCGACCAAAAACGCCTTGCGGGAACCGGAAGGGTATTGAAATACGTCAACGTCATATATAAGTGGGCTGCCGTGTCCTCGAAGACAACAATCCTTACCAAACCAAATGGGCTAATAGAGGGTTGAGGCGAAGGGAGCTAATAGACCAAGTAGCATATGCAATCAATAAGCCAAGTAGCGTCGGGGTTTTGTCCGCCAGTCAAATGCCTACTTCACCCACAATTCCCCTTTCACGATAATCTCTCGTATGACTAATGGTGAGGACTCTTGATAGGAATTGTTGGAATTTAGTTATACGATGACTTGGCGTAAGCTTATCGTCGTAGCTGAAGATACACGGCTGCTTTATCCCACGCGCCTCGGTCAGCGGCAGAGACTTCACTCTTAAGCGTCTTGACACCTGCGTGGATGGCGTCGAAGAAGTTGAAAGCTATCTCCAGATCTTCGAAGAAGTGAGTGGCATATGGGACGAATGTGCCGGGGAACTCTTGCTTCTTTACTGCCTTCTGTTCAGGCGTCTCATTAGGATGAATGTCGTCAAGCAGAGTCTTAACAGCAATGCCAAGAGCAACATCCGTGTCGTTCAAAAAGGGTAGTCTATATGAAATTAACACATAATTCATCATCATCTTACGAATCATGAAGACGAACCTTTGACCAATCTCCAAATAGTCGTCACGTTCTCGTTCCGTCTGCGCAAATAGTAGCATAGACGCGACAATCGCTTCGATAAGATCTCTGTCAGTCTCTCGAATAGATGAACTCAATGATCGGAAGCACAAGAAATTCTTGCTGAGAGGACCAGTATAACCGTTCGCTTGGTGACGCAGCTTCAACAGGATTGCGCAACGGCTGATTAGTAATAGGCTTGCCTTGTCATCATCGGTTCCGTTCATAGGCAAGCCGTTCAGTTCTGGATGCTGGTTCCGGGTATTAAGTAAGTTAAACCTGAGAAGTTCATAAGCTAAAAGAATCGATTCGTATAGGCCAGCGACCTGGCTATGCTTCTCAACAGTAGCCTTGAGTGCCTCGAGAGATGTTGCTAAGGCTTGGCCCCAGGATGTAAGTTGGTGGGAATCGTCTACGTAGCCACGTAGATGGAGGAAACGCCAGAGCGTGATCGACGATATCAAACCAGCAGAAACGATGCCCTTGACCTTGTCCTTGGTAATGGTACTCTTGGCGAAATCGGGATTCTTCAGTGCTGCTACTTCAAAGAGGATAGAACCATGCTTGGCATCGGGGTAGTACTTCTTTGCAACAGCGCTACTGAGGTTCCACGTATGCGCTTTATTCAACGCCTGGTTCTCTTGGGGACGGTACTCGATCTTGTGGGAATACTTCTCATCATACCATACCTTCACGGTAATCGGCTTATACTGTATACCTCTGTGTAGTCGAGGAAGTAGAAGGCTGAGAGCTGCCTCTCTCAAAGGCATTAGCTGGCTCGTCACTAGATGTTTATATTCTTCCGACTTAACTCCGTCTAGAGTTGGGTGGATGACGATCTGGCCGTGAGAAATCCAGCTGAGCATGCGTGCTCCGACAAGACCCGTGTTTAGGTAGTGAAATAATTCGGCTGGTAACTGATAGCCGAGATATTCCCAGTTGTCCCGAGTCAGCGTATCAAAGTTATGGACCTTGATTTCTCCAGACTCTTCAATGTAGATGAAGTGATCGATGCTCATTCTAGCCTTGCGGTACTTCTGTAACCAGTTCGAATCTCTGCTCTTACTCAGAATGTCGTTGAATGAGTTGCACGCATTCGCGACTGACTTTTCCGAGGTTCGCAGCATGTTAACGGCGTCCTGTACGGATGGTGGCTGGCGAGCAGTGATTTGGGGCTCTTTTAACGGGGGGAACGTGGGGAGAAAGGTTGTTCCCGCCATCAGCAGTGCGTCGATAAATAGTGCTTCAGTTACGCCCAGAGTTCTAATGATAGCTTTCTTGGAGATGGCAGTGAACGTGCCGGCATCCCAGTCGATGAATCGAATAACGTGATCCTTGATCGGATAAAGCAACAATTCCTGGGAGCCCATGATAGCTGAACACTGCTCTGAGTCGATCATGTCAAAGTAGGCCAACTTGAAATTTATTAGCTAAAGAATCTCAACACGGGGCATGAATAACTCACTTGCGCGGAGGCGTTAAAGGGGGGAACTAAGAAGTGGAGCCCACGACGCTTGAGGATACCTTGTAGCAGTGGAAATAAGTTGTGGACAAGGTAAGTTCCTGTATCACATGAGCAACATATCCGAGCTGTGGCATAGTTATGACGGCCGTACCTCGATGGGAGCCAAAGGCAGTCACGGCTTCATTAGCCTGGCTTTGGAAATAGAGACCCCAAGCCTCGTCGGTGCCTGCAATCGCCCTCTTTCCTCTCTGGACGGAAACGTCATCTTCGCCTTCAATGGACTGGCCGTTGAAGATGAAGAAAGGGATGGTTTTGTTGGATTTCCAACTATCGAGATCATGTTCGATGTGCGATTGAATACCGGTCAAGCCGCCGAGGGCAGGGAGAAGCGGTTCGTGATAAGGAACGTTGTCGAGGAACAGTTGCAGGTAGTAGGAGGCATCAACCGCAATGGCACAGTCCTCAAGCTGAGAGACTTCGGCAGACCTACGAGATTATTAGTTTCATAGTATTAATATAGTGGTAGGTGTTGTTGCTTACGCCACCTGCTCATTGATCCAATGATCCTCAAAGGTGCCTATAAAGGCTAATTAGCAACGGACCTACATAATGTGAATGCAACATGGCAAATGAAGAAAAGAAAATCATGGTCTTTCGATAAAGTACCATTTAGAGTTCCATGGATCCTTGTTAATGTCTTCCACCACTTATTTTCCTTAGGCCTAGGGCCGCGAAAGGGACTACAACTAATAGTCGAAAGCAGCCCTTGTCGGCGAAGCCATTCGATAGCCCGATTCAAATCAGCCTTGCCAAACGGGACCGGAACATTCACCTCGTCTATATCAAGCATAGTGGTTGCGTAGTAGGTACGTAGCTAGACAATGGAAGATGCAAATCCGTAAAGTCGGATATAACAACGAAAATAGGCCGGCCGTATAAGCGACAGCGATATTCAAGGCCGTAGAATTGTATGCGAATGTGTGCGAAGAGGTGTGAAGGAGAAATATACAATAGAAACGGTACCCGAAGCAGGGACACAACATCCCGATATCCCATCAGGCCGTAGAAAAGAAATAACAGGTAAGACTTACTAGGCATCTTAAAATATGCTTTGCGCAAGATCAAGCGCTCTTGCCTGGTGGATGGGATCTAGGATCTGGGATCTTGGGTAATGTCGGTTTACTATGACGAACGTCGAAGTGAGGAAAGCAGAGCTCGCGGCTCAAAATCGCAGGCTAGAAAGAGGACAGGTGGGGCTGGCAGGTATTAAAAGGAGTGACTGAGCTTAACATAAATAGAAGAAGGAAGTAGGTAGGTAGGGGCGGGAGGGAAGAGAGAGGCGGTGCGATGGTAAGGCAAGATGCACCTTGTTGCTACGGCTGTAGCTGCTGTTGGAGAGAACCTTACCCGTGGTGAGGTTCGAACTTAAAAGGTGAGGCACGATCCAAAGGTCAAAGCCTCGCGGCAGGTAGGACAAGGGTTGTGCGACTAGCCTGGTAGAGGTAGCGACGCTATGGGACCCCTGAACTGGGCGATTTTTTTTTGTTGCTGGCACGCCGCCTAGAGCTTAAAACAGACGGGTTATGTAATACATCTAATTACGTTGATCTTCGTGTGACGATTCCGTACCTGTACCTTGGTATGTGCAGAGTTGGAACGGGTTATCTTATCTATCGGCTTATCGTTAAAGAACCTTGCCAATCTGCACGTATACCTCGGACCATGTACCAGTGTACCTACATGCATGAACTCAACCTAGAAAGCATCAAATAGACTTTTAGCTTGTGAGACAAGGTACATGTAGGACTACATAGGACTGCATGTAGGTAGGTGTCCTGCTTTGTGGCTTCTAATAAGAATTAAACAATTCAATCTATCTAAGGGAACTATTAACTATCCTTTTGTCTTTACATATCTACGTTATATAGTTATATACGTAACACATTACATCTCCATCATGACCAAAGCTGCAACACTTCCTATCATCGACATCTCAGCCAAAGGCGTAGACCAGGCCCAAGTCGCCAAGGAGTTAGTAGACGCCGCAATTGACTATGGCTTTGTCTATATCAAGAGTCAAGACATTTTGGCCGAGCAGATAGACAATGCTTTCAACTTGGTAGGTAGTCGATACTTCAGTCTCAACAAGAGTCGCAATGAATAGTGATGGACTATCTCACATGTATAGTCGCGCATCTTATTCGACTCGCCTCTTGAGGACAAGCAGAGATGCAAGATCGAAAAAAATAATCAGGGGTGGTCTGGCATGCATACCGAGACTTTGGACCCCAAAACTCAGAGAGTAAGCTGTAACCATCTTGCCCGACTACGACTAACTTACCGAAACTAACACCTTTTCTCTAGGTAGGAGACTTTAAAGAGTTAGTATACATACATAAGTAGTAGAGGGACACCGAGGCTGACCCGAACCACCAAGGGGCTTCAACTTCGGCCCCTTTGCCAACAGCAAGGCCACACAACCTATCCCGCAGAGCATCGAGCCGCATCAAGCAGAGCTCGCTGCTTTCCGGGATGCATGTCACGAGCTGTGCCGGAAGCTACTCTTACTCTTCGGCATCGGACTAGGAGTAAGCGCTAACCCCATACTCTGTCCGGGCCACCCTTTCTAATCAGCCCAGGTCAACCCCCCAGAGTTCTTCTCCGCCGCGCACAACCCCGTCCTGTCGTCGGGCTCTATCCTGCGGTTCTTATACTACCCGCCGCCTAGTAGAACACCCGAGGCGCACCCCGATGACGTGCGCGCGGGTGCGCACTCGGACTACGGGTCTATCACCCTTCTGTTCAGACTGCGCGGCCAAGCTGGTCTCGAGATCCTCGAGCCTCGCACCGGCCGCTGGGCCCCTGTTCCCGTTGACCCGCCTAATAGCAGCAAGGACGAGGGTGCTGCTGCGCCGCCGCCTATTCTCGTCAACATCGGCGATCTGCTCTCGTACTGGACTAACGGGTTGCTCCGCAGTACTGGTATGTAGCATCGATGTTTCCTCTTTCTCCCTATCTTCCTGTCTTAGAACCCCGAGACATCATAAATGCCTTAGTAGTAATAATCATTAACACTCGTCACCAGTCCACCGCGTCGCCTTCCCCTCAGCACCAGACGCCCTAGCGGCCGGTGAGTCTACCGCCGATCCGCGGTACTCAGTCGTCTACTTCTGCCATCCGGCTAATGACACGCTGCTGACGCCCGTTCCAAGCGAGCGCGTCAAGGCGGCAAGCGAAAATGAGAATGATACTGCCCGGAACCAGGGCTTAGATAGCAATAGTAAGAAGGTCCTGACGGCGGACGAACATCTACAGATGCGACTACAGGCGACGTATTTGCAGATGTACGGCAAGGACGGGGGGAAGGGACAATGAAAGTTAGTGAACAGGTGTCATAGGAGAGCCTAGGAGAGTTCCTATTTACGTGTAGAGCATCTATGCATGGGGCAAGGTTTTAAATACCCGACTTCTATCCGTCCTGGTTTCCGTCCTGGTTCATAGTCGCATTCTCCCGTAGCCTTGGAGGTCAGGATCGGTCGGAAGGCTATCTATCACCAGCGTCTCGATCTAAAAAAAACAAGAAATTTCGTTGATCCTACACGGCTTGTCTTTTGAGCTACTCCCAAGAAAATAGAACGGTTATAAATAATTTAGTTAGCTAGGTAGGTACCTAGGTAGTCTTCGACGCGAATATCATGCCTTTATTACCTACCTATCTATAACTTACTTTGCCTCCTGCCAAGTAATCGTTTCGGTCCGTAGATGAGCTAACAGGTATCTACCTATATATCCCCCCTTCTCGATTATACGACCGTCAGACAACTCACACATACTACTATCTACTACCTATGTCTCCCACAAGGACCACGCCCATATATACCAGCAGCACAACCCACGAGATGATATAGTCACATTCAGCATACTATCCTGGTCCTACTTGTCCATCTATCCATCCATCCGTCCGTCCGTCCGTCCATAATACCTTGCAGTCCCCTCCCTTCCCCCAAGGCATCCATAAGGGTTCGCGGGGGCCTTCACGTGTCCCGTGTAGTTGGCTATGCATATCCCGCATTCGTTCGAGGGTACACGACATAGCGATGTAGGAGCGGCGGGAGCATTAGCCCGCTGCAACAATCTTCGAGGAATCAATCATGAGTGTCTTAGGTACCTAGAGTTGGCTAAGGGGGGGGGGGGGAGGGAGGCGGGTCTCATAGTCACCAACTACAAACAATATAGGCCACATATATCCTTTACGAATAGATACTAGAAATAACAACCATATTTCACAAGATTTTATCGCAGTAAATTAGATGAGCTGAGCTATTCTGGCTTTGACCTTCCCTATCCCGGCCAGCTTGGGTATTTCGAATGCCCGCGTCCCAAACTATACGGGCCGCCAAACTCCTGCCTACCTGAGTCTTACTTGGAAACTTTCTGCAAATCAGCCAGCCGGGTATACACTTCATTTTGAAATTCTGCCGAATCATCCCACGCACTGGAAGCTAGCGAATTTGCAAATTCCTAGGTCGTGGATGTGATAAACTTTTTTGTGACCGGCCCCTCGTTTTTTAAAGAACCAATCCCGTCTTATAACCCGTTCAAGAAAACAACCTCGCCAATCATCCAGGTCGCTTCAGGCGTTCCAGGACCCAGCGGCTATGAGGAGAAACTTTTGTAACCAAACGCCGATTGATATATAGAAGATAGATATATGGCCGTACAACGCTCTAATCGCCATAATGTCCCTGGTAACCAATGCAGCAGCGATGACCGGACGCCTCTGCCAGTTTTCAAATGCAATATCCTATCAAGTCTCGACAGCCGACTATGCCTTTCTGTCGTATAACTGTTGTCCTGTCGGTTTGTGCCAGGCCGGAGGTCTGTCTAGCCTGGCCTAGCCCAGCCCATCCCATGAAAATGCGGTAGAAGAACAATGCGCCAGGGGGTTGAATAGCACCTTCGAGTTTTAAGTCACGTCCTTCAGGGGAATTCCCAGGTCTGGGAATAATATCATATTCTCCTCGCGTTCTTGTTGGCTGAGAAAGTCATGGCGCGCGTAGCAACTCGTTGGGCACTTATGCCAGCCACGACTCTTCATCTCTCTTAAGCCCTCTCTATAATATTTGTAGTTAGCTTTCGTACGATATATAGAGAGGATAATCCACCCTTTAAAAATAATAGGAATATCCTCATCTCGGGAATTGAACATATCCCCGCGCCGAAGTAGGTTGAAACAGCAAGTGTCGCTTACCATTATTAACCCTTCATCTAAGGATTCGTTATCACCTTCACCATTTCCATCGTCCCCATTATGAGCCACCTCTTCAATTTCCTCTCTTGGGCCGTCATATGCAGGGACCTCGTCACCGTCAAACATCCAAGTCATCCCGTTTGCCTCTTCTTCCAGTGGGAAAATTTCACGAGCATATTCTTCGAGTCCCCTCGGCCCTTCCCATAATGCCAAAGCATCTTCAGGACATCTTCTATCGAGTTCCAGGTCTCCAAAATACGGTGGCTGCTTCTTGGGGTCGGCATTATTTGGCGAGAAAAGTTTCTCCAGCGCCTCAAGCTGTTCTCTATAACCCTCTGGAATCTTTACTTTTACTTCTATGGGTCCGTGTTTATAGCGGACGCGCCTACCTACCCCTCTCTCGAACGCTTTACAGGCTTCTACGGGCGTCAGATACTCATAAGCTAACGCTATGCGCTTCCCATTCCATTTTTCTGGCCCGTCCTTAAAGAGCTGAATAATAGCTGGCCCAACGTCATGCTCGGCGTCCAACCAGGGAAGCTTCGCGTGTGGGTGGAAAGGGGCTTGCCACACGAACGAACCATCTGGCTGTAGTTCCATGCAGAATAGCGGATAGCGGAGCGACGTAAAATTGTTGTTGTAGATTCCGGTATAGACGAAGGTAGCTGGTAACCCTATTTTGCGAACATATTTCTCTACCTCATGCTTGGCCGCCCAAAGGGGTAGCGAGGGCCATTCTGGATTATAGGCTGCGTGATCGGGCATGGATGAATATACGTAATGCTGAACGCCGGCTTTTTTTGCTGCGTCCGCAATGGCTTCTCCTATATGTATTTCATTGCCGTAGAATGTTGTGTTGATAAAAGCTAGCTGTGCGCCGTTGAAGAGCTGCGAGATCAGACGGTGATTGACTAGAATCCCTGGGAGGTTCCCGTGGACAGTGACGTCCCTTTTGTCGTCGGGTTTGTTTCTAACATAGAGCTCTCCGGTAAAAACTGTGACATTTGGGTTCATCGATACTTCAGAAGCTATAACACCTTCTAGGTTGCGCAGCTGCGCGTGTACCCTATAGCCTACAGCAGTAGCTATCCGAATTAAAGAGGCGGCTTGGCGACCACTTGCATTAATGACAGCAATGGTCTTATCTGGCGACGGCGTTGACCGTTTTAGAGGGCGATAGGTCAAAGAGTTATTTCTGGACATGGCAGTAAGTGGTGAGCTCTCCGAGTAAGAAGACCGCGTATGCTTGTGTCTTGTACCATGCGTCGCCGAGGACTTAGGAGAGGAAACATTGCCTTTCTCGCTGGGTACTGGTCGAAAAACCAGGTCAGTCCGAATAGGAATAGGATTTGAGGAAGGCATAGCGACGCAGATCCAGTTCCCGCTAGGGGTCTCGACACTCGAGCTTTTGTCTAACACAAAATAGCTAGGTCGCTAATATCGTGAAAAATTAGAGGCGAGCTCGGACAGCTAGGTGGGCGCGTGACGTCCCGATGATGCAAGAAGCGAAGATACCAAGCTGAAGCCGCGACTATGGAAAAGGGAAAGGAGCCAGTACGCCCATTGAAGAGAACTGTAAAGAGGAGCCGTCGAAGAATGAACTTGTGGTGTGGGTTGACTTTGAAAGGTAAGGTAAGGGCCAATAGGGTCGAACTTATTTCTAGGGTTGACGATGGTCCTGTTCAAGTGGCTTAGGTGGATAGAAAAGTAGACAAGGTAGACAAGGTAAAGCAAGGTAAGGAAATATAGCGTGGGATCGGAAAAAAAAAGGCTCAGGTGACTATAAGAAAGTGGAAGCAAAGTACTGGAAGTAACTAAAAAAGATCGAAGTAGGTACATATGTAGGCAGGTAGGTAGGTAGGTAGGTAGGTAGGTTAGGTAGGCAAGAGGTAGGCAAGAGGTAGGCACAAGTTTAATTTTGCCGGCGGTTGCGTGGCCGTTGACCGTGGTTGTGGCAGGTCCAGTCTGGTGAGCCAGGCACACAATATCTTTAGTCGACTATCTGAAAGTCTGAAAAGTGGATATATACTACGGATGGGAATTTTTGACTATCTGCAAAGTCCCGATTGAGGACCTTGACGGAGGTACCGGTACCCTTCGGGCGGGTTAGTACCTAAGCGTAGTTGCGTAGCTTGGGTAGCGACTTCCAGGGCCCAGCGCGAAACACTTCTTGTTCTTGCTCTTGTTTAAAGGTAGAAGGGAGGTGGGTTTTGCTTGGTGATTCCAAGCATATCTCGGATACTATAGCTTTACGATAAGCTAGAGTAGAAAGAAAAAGGTAGGTACCTACCTACCTAGGTAGTTAAGTATTTTAACAAGAGAGGACAAGAGAAGTACCTATATACCTACATGTATGTAATAGCAAGGTAGACCCGGTGGATCGATCAAATGCTGTTCAGGAGGAATCTTAATAGGTTAGGGAGAAAGAGGGTTGAAGTACATATGTATGCAGACATACATGCCTTACATGTATGCACATACCTAATATCAAGAAGACATAGTATTATTACTAGTAGATAAGTACATACATATATACGTATGTAGGTTGGGAAAGGACATGGAGGGTATGACGAGATGCGGACTATTATTGAAGATACATAGGCGGTAGACTAGGGGGGGGGGGGGGGGGGCTCTTATGAAATCCGGGGAACTCGACCCTAACCGGAGCGAGATTTGCATACTTATGTACGTGCTAACGAATAGCACGAAGTAGTCGTGTATGAAGCACCAGGCGAGCGCACAAAGGGAAAAAAGGAACTAAGAAAATTTACCTCCCAAGTAAAAGGTATGTACTTAACCCAAGGTAACCTAGGTATGTACATATTTCCTTACGTTGATGGATGACGCTTGAAACTTCTTATCTTAACTTTATACGTAGGCGCGCGTGTATATGTAACCTAGGTATGTATCAAGATACGCAGAGACCCATCTAATGTATGTAAGATTGATTAAAGGTAAGACTGGCAAGGAGAGGCTGACGGCAAATGCGAAGTTGTACATATGTAAGTACCTAACATATACCTAACATATAAGAAAGAGACACTTCCATACTTCGAGTAGTAAGGGCTAGTCGCACGAATAAACCAATAGGAATGCGCTAGGCTGGAGCGTGGATGGCAAGATAGAAGTCTAATGCGGCACGAGTTCGCTTATTAGTAATGGAAGTCGGAAAGCGGCTCAGACTAAAATAGGTCGGGATAAGAAAGGTGACTGGTTCGTCGACTATCGATTAGTTGGATGTAAGGGAGGGACGGTACATAAAGGTACCTACCTAAGGTATATGTACGTAAGGTATGGCAGGTGGCATAATTGTACTTGATAAGGGGTTAAATTTAAATATGTAGCAATAATAAGTATCAGAAGTGTGTAAATGCTACGGTCGAGAGCGGTGAATGCGTTGGTATAAGTCAAATGTATCGAATGGTATGTAGGTAGATGTAGGTAGATGTAGGTATTATTCGAAGACGGTTGGTTATCGTAGGCCTCCGATTTTTCATCGGTCAAAAGTCGTCAGGTTTCTCTTATCGCTTTTCCCGGGTGATAACTCGCCGATCCGATACGTGATTGATCGCATGCGGTATCAGTGGTAATACTCAAATCAGGAGGGTGGCCGCGGTTGATTGGTCCAATCGATCATGCGGTCTGATTATGGAATACAACGAGATCGGAGCCTGACCGAACATCATATTCCAGGTACTTACCCACTTACCCACTTACCCACTTACCCGACTATGGGCGCCCAAGTACTTGATATTCTTGACGTTACTTAGGTAAGGAATGGAGACAACTTGGTGAGGTTAGCTAATGGGAATTGCTAGGTCCATTTATATGACAGCTGTTAACCACGTTTTCTGGTTTCGTCTCTTGAGAGTTTTTGGCATGGTCCAATAAGTACTCTCTCGGGTTTGGATAGTGGCAGTGGTAGGTAACAAGCCGGTTCGGTTTCATGACGGCACAGCTTATCAGAGCGAAGAAAAAAAAAACGAAAAATTTTCTCTGGTTCTTTTCTGTCCTTGTTGGACTGGGAACAAACTGGATACCGGCATGATTAAGATTATGTAAAATGATGGAGTACCGTTGGTCGGTTACGGGATAATGCGTCTAAGAACTATATGGACTTACATAACAGCCTCTTAATAACCCCCCTAAAAGTCTAGCTTTAGGTATTGTATGCCAGCTTCCACATGCCAGCTTCCACATGCCACATAGGGAGAAAGAGCGCAGTCTGTCTTGTATCCAACCTTACTCCTTACTGTTGCGCTCCTTACTATTGCGCACACCATCATCCATCCGAATCCGACGGGGTTTGTCTGATCCAAAAGCCCAAAAGGATCGACAGATAACCGTCGGCCAATAAGACGGCTGTCTCCCAGTAACGAGATAGGCGCAAATCCCATAATGTCGTAACAGCCAAGTCCTATCTTTGCTGCCAGGTAACCAACCTTAAGGAGACAACCCTCTTTGCGCCACGGGTTTGCGACAAGAGAGAGCCAAGACAAGCCCTGGGGATTTGTGAGAAGTCCGTGTTACCGCAGCACGAGAATCTGATAAAAAGAGGAGAGGCCATCTGGTCTGGTATGTAGTAAGTCCGAGTCGGTCAGGTCCGCTGCCGCACCTCGATTGATAGCATAGCCCAGCAAATGGCAAATGCACGTGAACGTTGCCGCCGCAATTTCCGGATCACCGTTGGAGGATATGATATTGCATGCCGTTGCAGTGAACTCTATGCATGCCTACATAGACGAGACGGAAGACCGCCCTCTCGATAACAGATAGCTGTCTAGGGCTATCTTCCTACATTCCTACATACATACGCACACGCATTTTTATTAGTTTCACAAATATCCATTACCGACTATAGCCTACTTCCGTCCCCATGGGCGCTGATATAGTGAAGCTATTGGCTTGGTTTAGGTAGGTACTCCCGAAGGGCTAAGTAAAGTATTCGTTCCCTTCGCTTCTGCGTCCCCCAATCCAGAGAATCCGGGGCCATAAAAAAAAGAGAGAGAGGAAGAGACTAGGCCGGTCCACGCTGTGAAACGAATTGTCATAGGAGATAGTTCGCATGATGATGGGACATCTTAAACCCATTCGAGCCTGTCAACCCGACCCATCGCTAGCTGGAAAGCTTTAACAGTCAGGTTCAAGCCCAGGCCGTCCACTATCCAGGTGACTCACGGGATCAAGACCGATGCAAGCGAGGGGTTTGCTGTTATACCAGAGTGGAATCCAATGGCGAAGATATCTTGGCATTAGGTATATTTTAGTAAATAAAAAGGCATGGGTCGTATTGATGCAATCGAGCACGTTTTCAAAGCCCTGGCGGTTTTCCCCTTGTAACTTGAAATTATGTCCAGCTGCGGACCGTCTCCTTTACAAATAGTCGTGCCGGATGTTGCGTGCTATTACGTACAAAACAGCCAAGCGAACATCCTTCCTGGAGGCTCAACCACTACGTTGCCGTCATCATCCCCAGCGAGGTCCTTCTAGCGCCAAGCATGTCCCCTCTCTAAGGCCGAACGAAGCATTTCCGCGGGTGCACCCTTTTCCTCAAGTTCTTTATGTTGTCTTATGAGGTTGTTGTTCGCTCCTTTGGAGAACCTTCTTTGGGCTTGGGCAGAATTCATGAGCCAACACTAAAAAAGCGTATAAGCTCCCCTCGAAAACAACGAGATAACTTGCAGGGCTAACCAATCAGGGACCATGCGGGGTTGGAAATAATACCCCGCGGATAGATCGTGTTTCTTCGAACTTCTTCTCCACACCCTCCCTAGGTCAGCCCAGGATTTCTCACTTTGGAAAAGCTAGGATGCTACGAATCTGTAACCTTGAAGCTTGATACCTTATCAAAGGCGGATCGGACGATTCCGCTGGCTTTTTACCCCTGGATTCAAACGGCTATCCCGGCTGAGGAGTTACGATGGATGGAAGCCCCATGCGTTTGGAGTTAACAACTCGGGAAAGTCTTCTGCTGTATTCCCGGCCAGCCAAGCGTCCTGCGTCATTTGTATTGTGGGATCGATGTGTCCGCTATCACGCGCCATGGGATCAAAGGATCGCTATATTGCGTGGGTTCATTAACAATTCGCCACGGTCTGGAAGAGTACAAATCATCAGATACGACTTACCCAGTCATAGTCATTCTGCATCGTCCAAGGAGAGTCCGATATCCCGCTCGCGCCCATTGTATTTGTCGTGGCGGCGCCGAAATCAGCAAAATCCTCAACGGCAGGCTCATTGCTATTAGATATTGTTGAAGGGCCGCCACTGCCTATCGACAAATCTGTCATCTCCGTCATCTCGGTATTCCCGTTTATAGATAACTCCGGCGGTGTATTAGGGAAGAGTGAAGCATCGATTTGAAGTTTCGCCTGAATTCTTTGGAGTATAGTCCGAACGACCTCTTCGGCCTTCTTGAATTCACTTGCGTCACCTGACATATCGCACCAGACGTTGTATGATCTCTTAAGCAGGTACAAGAGCTTATCTTTGGTGAATGGCGGCGAGCTTCGGGCTATCCAGCTGGGACTGTTGCCCTCCTCCCAGTATTTATCATTCTGAATCATGAGGGCGAGGACCATATCCGCCAGGAGGAAGTCATTAACAGCCACCAGTGCTGCAACGAACCAGCCTGTCTGGCGCAGCATGCCACCCGGCTTAGTAGCTTCGTGCATAGTATTTTGAAGGTCTAGTAATGCCAACGCCGCCTCAAAACATATTCGGCGGGAGTAGTCGTGCTCCTCTTTTGGTACGAGTTCGGCAAGATACCGTCGATGAAGGACACATCGACTTTTTTGATATATTGCCGCGATACCGAATCTCTGGATAATCCGGACGGGTTGTTCCATAACACACTCTTCCATCGGCTTCATTTTCATAAGTGGAGGTATATTATTCCATGTTTCTTCGATCTGTGAATCGATCTTCATGACCTCGGCATACGTCGGGACTCTAAGAGCATGTGCTTGCCGAACGACTAAGAAAAACACGCGTGTTATCTTTGCTTTGCTGATCGGGTAGGTAAGCGGCGTATATTCCGTATCGGGGCGGGCTGGGGGCAGCTCCTTAGTGTCCTTATCAAAATCAGTATCCATTAGATGTGACGGCAGCTCCGTATCGGTCTCGATTCCGTGGACCATACTAGGTAGACCTAGATTGAATGCGACTAGCAACTCGACTTGAATAGCGATATTCCATAGACGCCGCCGCATCTCGCCATCATACGGCGTTATATTGGGTAATTTACTAGGATCGCGATGGAGACCCATCTTCAACATAAGTCGGATCAAGACGGATGAAAGCAGGTAACAATTCATACGATGATTGCGATTCGTCATGAAATCTCCCTCGACATATAATAGGAATGCTTGAAGCGTATAAAAGTTCGGTTGGGAGTACTTCCCCCAAATTAGAGCCCACCCAGCGGCGCCCCTGTACTGCCTGAACCTGTCCATGACTGGCATAGGAGAATCGCTCACAAGCTCATGCGGCGCGGCAAATGAAGAGAAGAACACACCAAGTGCCAACACCATATAGAGCATAGCTATCCAGTTCAGAGGCGCCCGGTCAGGATCTTTACAGAATTCGTTGTATTCCCTCAGAAATGTAGGGATGTGAATGATATCTTCAAAAAGTGAGCAATGAAATCATAATGGAAGACAAGTCCACTCGAAATAAATGAGTGTCTTTTGGGAGGACTCACGTTGAGAAGGACTATTAGAGTTGAAGTAGCGATTCATCAGACGATCAATGACAGCCTTCTCTGGCAAGAGGGCCAGCAGCTCCGACTTATCCCTAGGGACGCCCCGTGAGAACATCAAGAGCTCATTTGGTCCGGTATTCTCATACGGGTCATAGATCTCGTCGCCATCATCAAGTGGGTCTTCGAAGTAGCTTTTAAGATCCTCGATCTAATACGTGGACTTGGTCACTAATGCGTTGCTGTAGGTGAATCAAAGAAGGGGAAGCACTCACGTCCTCTAAAATAGCCATAAAATGTGTGCCGCCGACGTAATTTGTAGCTTTCTCACCTTGAACAACGAGACCACCGGCACTCTGCTCCTGTCCTGCTTTCCTATCCGTAGGAACCATTGGTATAGAACCCTCCGTATCGATCATACCGCGAACCACTATAGTAGGGTCTTAGTGACATTTCTCTCTATTTCTTGTTTGAGCTATTTCAGATATGGTACTCTCAGGACGTGAAAGACGAGAATGTAGGAAAGAATGTAGGCTATATCAAGGATGCAGTATATTAAATTAATAAGAGGAACAGAAAGGAGGAAGATGGCCGGGCATGTGCAACCTTGAGATGTATATACGTACTCCCTTCGAGTCTCTTTAAACGTGCAGCCATGCTCTTTGCTGGTTTCTGCTTCTCGGGTCTCGGAGCATAGAGGCAGCCTTCCGGCTTCCCCTTCCGAACGCACTGGCCGCACGGCGTTATGCGGTCGCACTTAAGCTTAGAGTTGCGGCAAGGCGCACAGCTAAGCAGGACTCGTGTTCGCTTTGCATGACCATTTGCTCCGATACCCCCGGCTGCCGCCGACGACGACGCGGGGTCGTCGCCGCTTGTTCCGTTGAAAGCACCGGCTTGCATATTGTATTTTTGTTCTATCCGTACGGAGGATGCTGGGGGAAAGGAATTAAGTTAAACCCGAGGGATCCCGAAGCTGGTTTTGAATTAGCTGGCAGGGCTAAGTTCGCATCTCAGAGCGACATGTGGTCTCCAGACGATTACGTGAACCTGGCTAGATGAAACGAATCATAGCGTTCTCTGGTCCATGGTATCTTGCTGAGCCGCAGTCGTAGTGCGCGGCATTCTAGGTTAGGCACGTGCGATAACCAATCAATCGAATTGAAATACGGGGATGCTGGTAGGTATATATACTATTCGCTTACTCTCTGTTTTACAGGAAATATTGAAGGGGGGAACGTAAAAAGATAATGTAACAAGTTGATAGATTTTATAGTTTATAGTTTGTACTTGTATGTATAACTACCTGTAGATAACTACCTAGACTAAGGTTAAACTTACATAGGTTAGGGGATTGTGATTAGGTAAGTGCTCTAAATTCTAATAGCTAGAAATAGGCAGGTCCTGCATATGTACATCAACTTAGATGAGATATATATGTCAGCAATTACATGAGATAACAAGGAGTTTGCAGCAGCGTTTCTTATTAACTAACACACAACTTGCGATTAGAATATGGGTGTTAGCAGCCCTATTATTCGTCTCTATAGTATCACACGATGTTAACATCAAATGGAACCCCTTTAGAGCCTAAGTTATAGCACCAACAAGAACACAAATAGATATTTAGGAAACAGTATCATTTTCCTGTTGCCTGCAATTTCAACATTCCAACATTAATCATTTCTCTTTTCCTTCTTCTCGTAACTAGCCTTGTAGTGTTTAACGAATGGTCCTGCCAGTAAATCCAAATATCCGAATCGAAGTAAAACCCCTCTAGGAGGTAGACAAGGTAGTATACACAAATTAGACCAGCTTTTGATTACATTGCAGTATCGTTTTAGGTAGTTTTAGGTAGTTAAGTAACGAAATAGATTTTTACCACTCGATCCTGGTGGCTTGTGTTCGCGGGTCCCGCATGCCGGGGATCAGTCCTCGTGTGCCGCATTGAATCGTTGCAACACGTTCGCGAAGATCGAATTTGACAGCTCGTACCATAACACGCCTTTCCTCCGGTATAGCCCTCCTCACATACGGTGATGTCGGTACACTCTCCCTTCGACCTGCCCAGCGGGCATTACCGCCGGGACCGAGGGGAATATCGTTTCCAATGCTAGGAGATCTAGCAGTTAGGGCGTTCGGGCTTCCCGTAGAAAGTCTGCTCATATCGGTTGAGCTCGACGTACGGCGTCCGAAGTCATCGGCGCCATCATCGCCCTCTTCTATTTCCATAATCCACATGCCAATACGAGCCGCTAATTCACTATCCCACATACCTTCTCTTCGCGAGCTAGTTCGCAGCAATTGTATAGCTTGACGCCGGGTCACAAAATCTCGACATTTCGTCGCAACTACAAAAAGAGGAGGGACGATGCCTAGATCTGCGCTAAAGCTCGGCTTGATATGCCGAGCTGTGTACTGTCCACCAAAGGCGTCTGGATGAGTTGGCTGGTGATGACAAAATTCTGGATTCGGACATCGTTTCGCAGCAGCCCTGCGCTCTTCATCTCCGACAACCTCCACAGCTAGATTAACAATGTCCTTAAATTGCGGCAGGTATGTGTCGAATTGAAGCTCTGTATCACTAAATGTCATATAAAATAGAACCTCGCCCATAATCTGATTCATCTTCAGAACAGCGATTGCGGTTTTCTCTTGGCTACTCTTCGCAGGTATTATACGAGATGATAGTATCGGTTCGAAAGCCCTGGACCAGGCGGATATTCTATCGGCGAAGCCCGTACCATACTGTCTTAAAGAATTTGGAAGCACGCCCATGGGGCTCGTCGCTGGGCTCATCGTCGTGAACGTTAAGAACATGTTTTCCGTGAACCGCATCATTTGTTCGCACAGATTATCCCACGCCATTCTCGCTTCGAGTAATGATTGAAATATGTCTGGAGTCTGCGGTTGCGCTGTTAACGCCGGTGAACCCCCATCGGAAAGAGGGGATATGGGTTGTTCGGTACGCTGTGGAGAAAGGCGTATAACGAATGGTTGAGGGAAATGGAAAGCCATGTCGTAAGATTTTGCTTGAATGGCCAACCGAGTGAACATCTGAACAAGATCCTGTTCAACTGGCTCTTCAGGTTTAGGGTGGAAAGAATTTCTTCGCTGAGCACGCAGACTTTCTAGCAGCCGGAGACCGCTTTGGATTTGGACGATCGCTTGTTTATGGTCACCGATGAACGAGTCAAAGCAAGCCAGCAACACCGCCGCCATGAGACTCATCCTCTGCGACGCCTGGTCCTGAGAAGTCATGTCCCACATCGATTTCAGAGCTAAGGAATAATGCTTGAAGGCGACCTCCCAGTGTCGGGCCGCATTATCTGTCAGATCGACTATAGGAGCTGGCGAATTGGGCGGCGACTCGGACATTTTCTCCAATGTCTTATAAAGAGCCCCTAAAGCGACAACCGAGTGCCGAATAGCTTTCTCGGAATGGCATTCTTGTAGAACACTCCTTGTCCAGAAGGACGAGTCGAAGAACCCTGACAACTCACTAGCCGTACGCTCTCTGAAAATTTGGAAATACGGGCCTTCTATCGGATCAAAGGTGAGCAGAGATGGCCGATGGACCGTCAATGAACTAGATACGGGTGTTTGAGGGGGAGTAAAGTCTTTGGCGTATATTTGTTGCTGAGGTTTTAGTTGTGCCATCGTGACCGCTGGCTGCGATTGAGGCTGAGTCCGAACTGGCCGGATGGCACGGTCCGTTGACGTGATAGGATTAATATGGCCGGTGATAGTACTAGGCGCAGGCGCAATCAGTCTCCTATCAGTGTGTCTAGTCCGCGGAGGAGGCGGATAGCCGGTGCAGTCTCTCTTAGACCGGACACACTGAGTGCATGCTGGCCGTTGCTCGTCGCATTTAATACGTCGTTGTCTAGAATTGCAGAGCACCTACTTAGCATGATATACACGATACAGCTAATAACTACATGTTGGCAATATGATATAAGAAATAAGATGTAACATATAAAAATCGATAGTCTTATTTAACAGAAAACACGTACTTGCAATTATTGCAACCTGTTTTGACTTTCGGCTTGCTGGTACGACATCTCCTCGGCTGTCGTCCCTGGACCTGAGTCGTATCGGCCGAGGACAGGGCCAGTCTAGGCCGTGGAGCATTGCTCGTGCTCATCTTATCTCCGGAGGGCTTCAATCACTCCTGAGAAAAATTTGGTACGGCTAATTGCATAACAGAGCCCACGCAGAAGGGGGCCGATCTGAAATATAACAGAAAGAATAAGTAAGAACAAAGGCGCTTCCTTACTAAAGGGGCGTATTTAAGCGCGCTTCGATTCTAAGAACGCGTGAAGTGGTAATGGTGGAGCTGAAGCAGGAGCAGGATCAAATAAGGAGGAACCGAGGAAGCATTGACCGTTTGAGTATACCGACAGGAATGAAGCTAAATATGGCGAATAAGTTAAAATTAATATATAGGTACGTTTTTGAGTTGTCCGGCCAGACAAACCCATTTCCGGAAGGGTATCAAATGAATATATTTTGTGCGACCAAGGGTAAACAAGATAAGAAGCAGGGGAAGAAGTAAAAGGGAGAGCGTGAATTTATTTATCCCTTTGAAATGAACGGCTACGGGATTCTGCACGTTCTTGAACCTATTTTGGTGGAGTGAGCGGACGGGATGGGGATTGAGATTGGAGATATGAGTGCCGACGGACGGGTATTTCTAAAGGTAAGGGTTAGTTCTAAACCGGAGGGGCAAGGGGGAGTTCACCGGAGGGCTCTCTAGCAAAAAGCTAGGCAAATATGGCAAGTCTACATTAAAAAAGGTTAGGGTGATCTGGATTGGAAATTTTGGGGGCTTAGATTGGGGCACAGCTTCTGTATATACATCATTTCTACTAACCTACATGCCTAGTACAGGTGCCTCACACTAGGTTAGGTACGGTAAGCAGGCCCAGCCCGCCTACCGATGTACAATACTAAGGTTACCTAACACCAGACCTTAATATGTACTGTACTTCGATAACCGAGAGATTAGGTACTTGCGATAGGTAGGTACTTACTAAAATATATCGAACACCCAAGGTCTAAAACTTTAGACAATGTATGAAAATGTACCAATAACAACGACCGGCCAAGACACTATCAGAAATGCTGTGCAAGTATTGATGCATAGGTATGGGGATTGTCTTTTGCTTTGGGAATTTCGGGTTCACTACCAGGTACGGAATACTTTAGACATACATAACATGTTGGAACATCTGCCCAGTATGAATATACGTAGGTACCTAACGTATGTTACACACGCTGGAGCTACCGGTAGGGATGCTCGGTAAGGATAGGTACCTGAAGCCTGCAAGGCATTATCGATAATTTGTCATATTAAGAGACATCCATTTGAGCCGGTCTTCCTTTTCGACCGATATGCCCGATTCCATGTCTGTCCGTAAGGCTGGCATCTTATGCGGTTACGAGGTACCTAAGGTACTTAACCCAGCATCGTTATCGAGGTATAAGTCACAGCACATTTATACGCCCTACACAAATTTATTATATAGGTAATTACGCATTCTGATTATAGTTTCTATTCAATCAATACATGTATCAAGTACGATAAGGTTGTATGTAAGTGAATTAATTTCCTTAATTACAAGTATCGTGATATGTCGGCTGAAGAAACGGCTGGCTGAAGACAGGGACCTGCTGCAGGTGAACAGTTGAGTTTATTCTCCAGGATCGGCAAGCCTCAGACTGGTAACCACATATCATACCACCGTCATCAGTACATATGTACTCTTCTCCGCCTGACATAATCGGAGTATGATTACCTTGAACCCCTGGCTACAGGCTACATGCTACATAAGTCGCCAAGTTGTCAAGCGCTTGTACCCTTGCTCCCTCTTAGAAATCCGGGGATAAATTAGAAACTTTGACTTTTTCATTGTGTTTCTAATTCATTTACTCTATGTATTATTACATTCTTCTGCTCGTACGAAGTATACCTCAAGTAAATACACCCACATCGTCATATAACATTAAACAAATTAGCCATTTAGCTCTAGTTGGCCCTAATTAATTCTGCATCTTACATACCACTTACACTACCGGTGGCCAAGAACTTGTCCATGATCATCATCTCATCCCCCACTCCCGACTCATAACTCTACACCACCTCAACCAAATCATTCATTAGGAGCATCGGTGTGTACTGCAAGGTGCTGAGCGCTGCAGTAACTCTGCTTCTTCATTCTTCCTTGATTTATGACCTTCCAGTTGAAGTGTTACCAATCCTTTTAGAAGATGTTAACACCACCCATTTGACCTATTCGCTCGCGGAGCCGGCCCGTATATTGCGGAACATGATCATCTAAGAGTAACGGATGTGGTCTTAAGCGCCCCAAGTACTATATTCGTACTCACCAATTCAGCCCTACGAGAGAGCTATGATCTCCCCAGTGGTCCATCTAACTGCAGACTTATAACGCTGAGACCAATCGTTCTCCACCAAATTCATCACTGCCAAGGGTAGCGCATGCAAGGGTGTGAAAGCCGTCTCATCTTTTACGCCAATGCAGAAGATGTCTTCATTCTTGGTTCATCAGCCCTATAGTGCAACCACGTCTAATGTCTTGATTCGCCCGTGTTCCCTACGGAAGACTGCATTAGCGTCTACATGCGTCAAGGGGGAGGCCGCCACCATATACTATGGAAAAGCACTCATTAGATTTGCATCTCATGCAGAATCAAGGTCCGAGAAGCCTCGGTCCGCTCAACGGCACTCCAAGTACAAAGCTACAATAAGACAATAAGAGGAGCAGCTGTCGTTGAACAATACTGTGTCCGTCCAATCAAAAGAATGCCGAGAGAGAAAACGGCGCTAAACTTTCGATATACAAATTTGGGGGCTTTTTCCTACACTTGAAAACAGGCCGCTAGCGACATGAATTCGCCGAATCTCTTTTCTACGTCTTGTTTCACTTCGGATAAAAGCAACAAATAATACGTCGTTAATCGTAATGCCGAAAAAATTGCCCGGCTCCTCTTAGGCTCTTGTTCGTATGGGATTTAATACTGGCATTTGATACTAGCATTGCAATAAAGTTGTATACCGTACCGCATTTACAAGAAGTTATCTACTTACACAGCATCCTATGTGCGTAATACCAACGTCCTCTGTCCCCCCCGCTTGTCTAATGGTTACCTAACCTTTAGCCAAGACTCTTAGCCGCAGCAGCCAATGGTGATATCTAGGTATTATTTCACATTGACGTGGCTCGAATAATAAAACCGAGCCTGTGAAACTTGCACAAGCGCAATAAGTCTAGGCGCGGATATCAGAATTCCCACGGGTTCAGGCCTCTACACTAGGTTAGCACATATTGATATCGCTTCCTTGGACTACCACATATACCTTTAATATATACCAAGATATCTGACTCGATAACCGGCGAAACCGGCACGTTCTTACCCGTTGCTACATTTAACGACGTGAACTCTGTTCGTATCTCTCAAGATGTACACAGGAGAGGACAACACCAACTTGTTCTGCTGCACAAACCCGTCGTAACGATATGACAGCCTCGCTATAGTTCTATAGTTATTGTTTACGCGTCAATGACACCTCGAAGGAAAGAAACTCACAACTGTTTCGGCCCTTTAGAATTGCGGTACAACACCCCGCATGCATAGTCCTCCGACGTTATCCCAATTACGTGATATGTCCTTGGAGAATGATGTCCGGGGGTCATAATCAGGGAGCCCTCAAATCGACCTCCTTCCGCTTTGCTGGTATTGCAATCCTAGCGTTCGATAGCACTAAATCGTAGCGAGGCCACATTCTTAGACCCCCAATTTCAAGACCACCAGACTAAGATTCCAGCAGAGGTGATCGCAGTTCAACCCCGGATAGCGAGTTTGTGCTCAGCGTTAGGACATAATCCGAATGGTAGATAAATAAGAGCACAGTACAGTACAGCATTAGCATTGATAATAATGCATCCACAAAATAACAATGATGGTTACAACAAGATGTAAAATGATGTCGCCCGAGGGGATCACGTTACTTGGATACTTCAATACTTCGATATGCAGGGCATTGATCTGAAGCCGAAGTAAAGGTACCTCCAAACTAGAGAAAATGAACTCAGCCTCTCTACTCTGTGCAGCCACGCGATCCCAGATAATGAAACGTCTCCGCTTTTCTCCCGCTCTTAGCTGACCAGTGGTGACCGACTTTTTGTGCATTTTTCCGCAGGAGCTAACGGTCGGTAGGCCACCGAAGAGTCGGTAGATGGACAGATAAGAAACACCGCCAGCAAGGCGCAGTAGCCACCCGGACATGTCCGAAAAATCCAATAAAGCGAGACCCACAATGCGGTCTTTCGTTTGGAAGCTCAATTCAGATCTAGGTAAACTTTCCACATCCACGAGATAAAAAGTAACATGCCTTAAGTACATATGTACGTCACGTCAAATATATGTACCTTGCATTTATCGCCATAGCGTCCGCCGTTTCACAAAAAATCTGCCTTACCTACAATAGTGGTTACATGCCTAAACTCATAAGCTACCTGCTACCTCGGTAACGGTAGTATACCTATCTCTTAAACTTCGTCGATTGACGTATGTAGTTATTAGATATCGTGGCTGTGTTCGAGGTTGATGTTGTTTACTTAGGAGTGCCGCCGCACTCAAGACGAACGTGCAGAGAACACGCGGACAATGTTAATCGTGACACTATTATGATCCAACCGGCATGGGTTGAAGGAACCGAGACATCTGGATCGGTGGGCTCAGAAAGCTCTCGTGCTGGCTCATAGGAAGGTGATTGCTATCGTATGTACAACGTAGATGTACCTAGGTTCGTCGAATGGAGCTAGGACAATGAGGATGCGGCTCTTTGCTTATTGATAATTTCAAGGTAGGTTCTGTTTCGTCCGATGTTACTGTCTCGGTTGATAGATGCTGTGTCTCATCGTATCCGGAGATGCAACTCGATCTTTACCTGTGTAAGTAGCGAATGAACCAATTATACAAGCTGCAGCGCGGATCTCGGCATGTTCCAGTTATCAAGCAACACTTAGGTACCTAGCTTTGATTAGATAGGGTAGATAACAGCAACCCCTGCAGAAAAAAGTTGAGCTCGCTGGAGTTTGTTTCTACCTACCACCGACATCGTCTCCCATTCCAGAGCTCCGTTTAACCCGCAAGACTCACCGAGGACAGAGACCTACATACTTGGCCGATTCCTGAAAAACGGCAAGGCGTCCAATGTTTAATTTTACCGCTCAGCTGTAGACCTGTATCGACGTTCGCTTTGCCCCTGAACCCCCTCGACGAACCCGCAATTTCGAAAGTCGCATCATAACCCCTCCTCTTGTCGTCCCGCCATCCCCTCGTCCCCTCACCTCAACGACTCAGCGCATAGCCAATCGCTGAGACTTCGGACGAGAAACTATCTACTTACACACACACACACATCTTTATACATAGGTACATATACATACACATACGCAATGGCGTCCTCGCCATCGCAACCGCAATCCGCGGCACCGCCACAGCCCACGCCTACGCCCACCCCACAACCTCCCATCAACCCCTTCGTCCACAACGTCGCGCTAGGCGTAACCCCCATAGCGCTGTTCGCGCTATTCCTGCCGCCGCGCCGCCTGGACCTGCGCGCCATGATCCTCGGCGGCGTCGCGCTGTGGGGCACGGACCGGCTCGTCGCCGACTACAGCGGCACCTCGTCCCTGCGGCGCATGGCGCGGCGCCTGGAGCAGATGTCCGGCGCCGAGCTGCCGGACAAGGCCAAAGAGACGCAGGCGCGGCTGCGGGCCGAGCGCGCGCGACGGGCGCAGGACGGCGTCGCCGAGGACCAGAGGAGGAGCATGATGCTGGAGGAGCATCGGCGGGAGAAGGAGAAGGAGAAGGAGAAGGGGCTGCTGCAGAGGGTGTGGATGGGGGATAGCGGCGAGGACTGGAAGGCTAAGAGGGATCAGAGGGAGAAGGAGGCGCTGAGCGAGGGCGGCGGCGGGTACTGGAGTCTTATTGCGGATCAGGTGTCTGAGGTGTGGAATCAGGGGGGGAAGAAGAAGAATGATGGCGACGAGGAGAAGGAGGAAAAGGAGAGCGAGTCGAAGAAGCCTTGATTGGATTATAAGAATAGTCACGTCACGGACTTAAAGGGGAATTGACGAGCTAGCTGTACGTTACGAGATCTGCATAGGTACATATATGGGAAGCATAGTGGACTGGAGTTATCACAGGTTTCCGGGGGGAGGGGGGCCAGGCACATAAAATCAGGGCGAATAAAACGACGCATCTCTGTTAAAAACAAAACCATGACCTAAAAACTTTGACCTTCTTCGGAGTCTGCTCATAACCATGCCGTAATACCGAGAAGTCATAAACGAACCATCATAAACATGCACAGACGAGCAAAACAAGCTTTTAACATTCCACGCCCAACGCCTCAGAAGAATCGTCCCGGGAAGAAATGCCCCGGTCGTAGCAGGTAGGTACTTAGTAAGGAAACCCCAGGTAGATAGCCACCTAAGATGCCTAATCACGCCGCATTCTGCGCAGAAAGGCCCTGTCTCTTAGAAGCCTTCCTATCCATCTTATCCAGCACCTTCTTGCGCTCCTTAAGACGACGTCCAGTCAGCAGCTTGCCCTTCTTGTTGCGGATGCGCGCGGCCTCCTTGTCCTTGCGGCGCTTCTTCTTGTCCATGCGCGCGGCCGCCTTGCTGTCGTAGTCCTCGACCCACCTGTCCAGCCTGGCCTGGACGTCGTCCGCGCCCGCGTCCGCGCCGAGCTCCTTGGTGATCTTCTCGCGCTGCCGCTCGATTATGCGGATGCGGCGGCGCGCTTGGCGGTTTAGGCCCGTCGGCGGCTTTATCTTGCTCGGGCCCTTGGGTTCGCCGTCCGAGAGATACGTCTCGTCGTCTTCGTCTGCTGCGTCGGCTTTTTGAGGGATGGTGTTAGGGTCGATGGGCGTGGGCTTCGTGTCGATTGTGAAGAGAGCTGGGCCGTTGTCGTCGTCCGAGGAATCGGAATCGGAATCTGAGTCTTTGGAGATGGGGCGCACGGGAAGTTTGGTGTCGTTGGATGCGCCATCGGCTACCGCTTCCTCGAGGGCGGCCTTCTTGGACTTCTTTTCCTTCTTCTTGGACTTCTCGGCTTTCTTGTCTGGTCGCTTCTTCTCCTTCTTAAGCTTGGCCTCTGGTGCGGACTCGGCCGACTAGAATCCAACTGTAAGTCTTGCATCCACGGAAGTCTCGTAGAGAAGAAATACTCACAGATTCCTCAGCTGCCGCCGGGGTATCTTGTAGCTTGCTGGGCTCGTTGTCCGAGTCCTCGGGCGTCTCTACACGCTTCGACTTCTTCTCCTTCTTCTGCTTCTTCACCTTGTCCTTGGAGACCTTCTTCTCGGGCTTTTCAGCCTTCTTGTGGAGCTTCTCAGCTCGTTCCTTGGCCATCTTGCTATAATCCCAAGGTGCTGCAAAGCTGAATTGAAGCGAAAACAATGTTTTTGTGCGAGGAGAACAAACAACAGCAGAAGAAGGAGAAGGTAAATATAAGTAAATGGATAGAAGCAGGTGCCAACCAATTAGATCCGATCGTGAGAAGCTGCACGCGACAAAAGTTCAAGAAAAAAAAAAGGTTATAGGTACAGTTATCTTATCAGTAAATCCTTAACGCTGGTATTAGCTCTGCCCCACACCTGTTCAAGCTTTATCGTCGCTGTACTACCTATGTAGAAGCCGTGACAGGGATTTATGTAACTAGGTACCTCATAATAAGAGGTAGGTACCTATGTAAGTACCACCAATTGTACAGACTTACACCCAAGTTGCCATCTTTTCTGATTTATTAAAGCCCCCATACTGTTGATGTCTGTTTAATTACTACTGTAACTGTAACTACGAGCTGCAAAAGGCTTGATTTTACTTAGAAGGGATCTGGACTATGAAGGCTGTTGCCGAGTTTTTTCTAAGATGAAGGAATCAAGTAACCTAAACCAGCGTTACTTTAGCCCTCTGCAAGGTTATTATTTAGAAAAGTCGGTGTTTATTATATAAAATACTTGTGAATGGCAATTATGACATTCCTTCATGGCTTTACCTAGGTGTGGAACTCCTTAGATTAGAAAGGACAGGGCAGTTCTTATAAGTGATTTTATATCACTTTCCGTCCTAGTCAGATCTCAAGGCTACCTATACTTCGATATTAAATTACATAGATAGGTAGGTACTTATCTTATTAGATGTGCCGTAATCCCTTCTAAATATGTAAGTTTGAGTTTGAGATGGCTCGAGGAAATATTCTTCAAGACACGTACCGATGCTTAATACACCATATGCGTACTCTATATACGTGTAAGGCATAGGAAGAAGTAGGGAAGGAGATTAAAAGCCGTTTCGATAATTACTACCGTTATAATATACGATCAAACTTGGACACAAATAGCCCATAATTGCCGGTGTCTAATGCATACTGACAATATGCAGCATCTCATATTCCAACTACTCTCACAACGGTTCTTAGCAGGAAAAGGGGGCATTGGATTAGATTGAACATTATTAGCAAATATACCTTAGGTACATAACATTTTGAGATCCCCAGCGATATATCCCATCAGGAATACAAACCAGATATGGTATATACATACGTAAACATGATGGGAAGGTAGCGACGTTTAAACCTCATCATTTCCAGTATTCGTTACCTATCATTCAACTCTAGCAGCTGTTGCCCGTCGACGAGAACGAACCTACCTGGTAGCAACTAATAACCGCAGCTTCTATTCCGTGCATTATCATATTGTTGTTTCGTACGCCCTTCAGTTCTACAACCTTCTTCTCCTACCTTTCATATCCTACTACTTCTCAAACTCAACTTCTACTTAACCACAGTTATCAAGTAGCGTAGGTTAGAAGTTTCCCTGTTTTGCCCTGGAATCCTACTCTTACTAGAGCCAATACGTTGCCCTTTGATCTCTTGGGTGAGCCGGGACGCCTTCATTAATCTATATAAACACTCGCTACCAGCATATCCTAGTATTTATTTGGTGAACCGTTCTATGAATCCGCTTCATTCCCTGCCCGAAATCATCCGGACAACATTACTACGGCATATTCGACACCTACGTGTACGCATTGCGCTGTTTCTATCTCTACATGTTTCCGTATTTGACCAACTGCAGTTACAAGAAGCATGCCTCCTAAAAAGTCAGACCCTTCCATCAGCAAAGGAAAACGCACAGCGATCAGGAAGACTGCTCCTTCTGGACGTGGCGTGCGCAAACGAAATGGGCCTACCGCTGCAGAAAAGCGAGCCGAGAAGGAAGCTGCTCGTGCGAGGGAGGAGCGTCGACTTCGCCGCGAAGCTGAAATGGTCGAACTACCAACTCACCCCGATGATGATCTGTTAGTGTTATCCATGACCCAAAGGACAAGCCGAAAGCGTTCGGCCAACATGGCCTACGACGACTGCGATAGGAGCAAGCGTCCCAAAATCCTCAAAGACGGGAGCAAAAAGGTCTCGCGCCTCCTGCCTTGGGAGAAAGACAAAGGGCTCGAGCAGCCGCCTTCTCTTGACACCCTCAAGCTTGAGAGTTTTACCTCTGTCGGAGCTATAGTTACTCTCAGCTGCCTCCCTACCGAGATTCGCGACGAAATCTTAAGGTACATCCTGGTCTCTCCCCGTGACATTGCAGTATTCAGGGGCTGGACCCGAGTCTACGGACGTAGGGGACCTAAACTAGACCTCGCAATCCTCTACACGTGCCGGGTCTTATGGCTGGAAGGACTTCGTATCCTATTCGGCGAGAACGCTTTCCTCTACGACATTCGCGATCCTCCTGATTATCTGGAGACGACGGAAAGAATCATGGGCCGCGTGTTTCCCAAGGACAAGATCCCCATCGATAAATATGGACATCTGATGCGTCACATCAAGATCAACGTCCCCGCGAACCGCCTGAATATTACAGTCATTAGCAATTTCTGCAGCGCTATCCGCAAGTTCGTTCCTGGCCATGGCCTAGCCGAGCCAGCGCATCTTCACACGTTGACGCTCCAAATACCGGCGGTACAAGTGAAGGATATGGGCTTTACTGATTTGGTTGGGGATCCCAACGAGGTGCCCGCCACTCGGTTATTCAACCACTTCACCACCACCAGGGAGTCGCTTATGCTTCTCAACGTCCAATACCTCCGCATCCTAGCCACAGATAGCGACGCCAACTTGTACGAGAACATAATCAATCTCCGATGCCACTACATGCAGAAACAGGCGCGGGAGGACAAGACTGGAGTCGCAGTCAAGGATGCCGAGGGCGCCGAGGGCGCCGAGGCCTATTTTAAGAAACAGGTCAAGAGTGCGAAGTCGCGAGTGTACATGCTCAAAATGGCCATCGAAAAGCTAGCCATACTCTGCCCGGAGGAAAGGGATACGATGAAGTCTGAGCCCTGGAAGTTCCTAGGACAGGAGGAAAGGGGGCGACACGTAGATAGCATGGAGATGGAGGCCCTGCCAGACGACTGGTCTGAAGCCTCGGAGCCTGCTTCGTCTCGAGAATCGAGAAGTTCAAGCGTCAGGCCCGAATATACGCAGGAGCAGTTGGCTAGAATGATCGCCGAAGACGACGAGTCGGAAACTTCTGATGATTCGGATCAAGGGGTTGTCTCGTCTGAGTAGGGAAGTCGAGATGGATTAGGAGATTTCAGAAGAGCTTAAGGCGATGTATTTGGACCTATAGTCTTCGTGCCTATGGGCATATATCTCGTATAGCTTTCACAATGCGTTACTTTTGCACGCGGCGGTTTCATGCGTTGATTTCATGCTACGGCTTAGGCCTGATAAATATCTTCTTTCGGAAGACCTGTGGTCATGCCTCGCGCTGGGTTTAGTTGATTCTTATAATGACATTTAAGCTACCCCCTAAATCTATCTACCTAGTTAGATGATAAATGGTTGCTAAGCCTGGCCCGTGAATGTCCTTGTGTTTTTTGTCCTTTAGCCTTAGATACTATATATGGGTATCGTTGACAAGAGTTTTCTATTCTGGAGACCCCTCAAGTCCTACCATTATAATCTTAGCGTACCTAATATCACGCTCGGGCAGTGGCCTCCTAGACCGCAGCAATCTTGACCTTCGTGACGTCTAAGGTCTCGGTATCCACCAGCACTATCTCTTGGGTATCTGCAAAGGATGGGACGGCAATGAGCCGCACGATTTGCCCTTCTGGGCCTTGTATGACTTTGGTGCCGAACTCGGGCTGGCAGCCGGCGAAAAATAGGTGCGGACATGTCTGAATGACGAACGGGTCGTCGTCTTGGAAGGGGTAGCTCCCTAGATGTCGTAGGGTAGTTGGTTAGCTTCCGAAGGGAGAAAAATAAAAGGAGAAAGGGAATCCTGGTATGGATAGGGGATAGAGTAAAGAGCAAAGTATAAAACATACATAGGGTATCAGGCGCAGTTGGCGCACAGCATCGCCACCGACACATCGCCTCCATCATGCCCAGCCGATCGTCGCTATCGACGTACTTGAATATATCATCGACATTCTGGCCCCCCGTCCCGAGAACCCGCCAACCGTCAACCTCACCCTCCCACGGATTCGTCACGGCGTCGAACCAGCCGGGCTCGGCGTCCGTAGCTGTAGGCGGTGCTGTGTATGGCCGCGAGTGCGGGAACATGGCCGGGTGGATCGGCTGCTGCGGGAAGCTCGCGTTGGCAGGGTCTTGGGCCCCGGGGAGTAGGGTTACGGGGATCGAGGGCAGTAATGCGGAGAGGAATTCGTCGAGGAGTTGGGAGGGGAGAGCGTTGTATGCGCTGCTGTCGTAGCCGTATTTCTTGTGCGCTTTTTTCTCGGTTGAGTCTTCGTCGGCGGCGGGGCGTCGTTCCTCGAGGGAAATGGAGTTACCCGCGATGATCAGCCGGCTTATTTGGGACAACTCTTGTTGCGCGGAGGGGTCGAGCGACTCGCCTAGCAGGAACTCGAGGAGTAAGCTTAGCTCAATGGCGTGCGAGGCGTCGGTGCCGGAGAAGCCTAGGCCGGAAACGATGGCGATTTTGGACCCGCTACCTTTGGACTCGGCGTCTGTCATCTCGGCGTCTTCGTCCTTAGCTTTGGCTTTGGGCTTTCCCTTCGTAGCACCGCCCTTGGCGTCTACGGGCGACTTAGATAGCGCCCAGCGTTCCGGCTGCGGGGGTAGATCTGGGAATTTCAAGTCGATGACTTCGAGCTCGCCGTTCGCGTTCTCGGTACCCATGACGGCAATGATGCACCCGGTCACGAGGAGCACCGAGTTTAGTACGTTGCCGACGAGGCGTATGCGGCCGGACTCGTCCTCGAGGGTGACGGCATCGGAACCGTCGTCTGAGTAGTACTTTTTGTTTGAGATGGGGGCCGAGAGCCATCGCTAGGGAGAGTTAGATTATAAGTTACATGATTTGGCGGCTCGATCACATACATCCTTGGAGACGTCCTCTAGAATATTGGGCTTCAAGGGCATATCCATGTAGACGGTGCCCGAGACCCAGCATAACTCTCCCTGTCGAATATCCAGCACCCGCTCCGCCTTCTTAACCGGCTCCTCACCAATAAGCTGGTCATCCCAAGCAGCAGATGCGAGCTGCTCGACAGCAGGCTTGATCTTAGTGAGCCGCAGGAAATACATATCGGCGAACTGTTGCTTGTACGGCTTATCCTTATCAAGTCTGAAGGAGTGCAGTGACTTGTAATCTGAAGAAGCCCTCTGGAGTTCATCCTCCGTCTTGCCCCTGTGAACTGTCAGTATCTACGGTCTGGTTGAATTGAAGAACCACAAAGACTTACGAAGGCTTCCGGAGCAAGTTTCCAGGGATATCATCTAGCGTAGTCATCGTGACGATTTTATAATTAACATCCTCGGCCTGGGTTTAGGAGAAATAGTAATTATAGAGAAAGTGCATAGAAAGACGCGTCCACCGGACGAAGACGCGTTTTTGGCGTTAATTGACTGTGGCTTGGCTTGAGGGTGGGTGGCTTTAGCATTCTAACAGCCCGCTAGCCCTATGTACATAGTATTGTACCTAAGGTCCACTACCTACCTAGGTACATGTACATAGCTGAAGCAGTTATAGTGGACGTGCATTGATTGGTTAGTACCCCTGCATCGCGGGGTAAGGCTGATAGTATGAGTTCGGAAGGCTGGTAGAAGCTAAACGGGAGAAATTCCCCAATTCTATCGATAAGAAAAAAAAAAGTTCCAGAATTAAACATCAACTTACATGGACCGACAGCTTTGAATAAATACCCGGATTTCACATATTAAAACTCGAATAATCACAACTTCTTTGCTCAATTAAGGATCGATCGGTTATAAAAGTACTATGGATTCGTCTATAGGCCAGCCAGGAGCGGCCGAGACCCAGCAAATCCGGGTCAATTTCACCACAACATCTCCAGATCTTCAATTGCCAGAAGGCCGAACCCAATTGCTCGTGCCAGCAGGTCCGTCTTGCTCCCTCCTATTTATAATACCAAATCATACTGACTTCATTCACAGATATCAAGCGATATGGCCTCTCCCGCGTCCTCAACTCGGAGTCTATGCTCGACACCCCGTCGCCTATCCCCTTCGACTTCCTCATCAACGGCAGCTTCCTGCGCACTTCGCTCGAGGACTACCTCAAAGCCAACGGGCTCTCCGCCGAATCTACAGTCACCGTGCAGTACGTCCGCAGCTTAATACCGCCCGTGTTCCAGGCTAGCTTCGAGCACGACGATTGGGTTAGCGATGTCGACGTTCTGTCTGAAACCTCGCGCGCGGGTGTCTGGAGCGGAGGGAAGTTTGTGACGGGCCAGGACAGGATTTTGTCGGCGTCGTATGATGGTCTGCTGAGGATATGGAATAAATCCGGGAATGTAATTGCGACTTCTTCGTCCAGCAGCCTAGGCGGCCACAGCGCTAGCGTTAAGTCTGCGAAATTCATATCCGCGTCGCAGGTTGCGTCGGCCGGGCTCGACCGCACAGTCCGCATATGGAAGTATACCGAGGCTGATGACTACCTCTCCGGTACTCTGAAGCCCACCCTCGAGCTGTACGGGCACAAGTCTGGCATCGAATCTCTCGATGTCCACGGCCCGACCGGACGCATTCTAACCGCCGCCAGCGACGGCACCATCGGTCTCTGGACAACATCCAAATCCGCCGCCCCCGCCGCCCCAGCAGCCCTCCTCCCCGGCGCCAACGCCTCCGCCTCCAAGAAACGCAAACTCACCTCCTCAGCACCCCAACGCGGCCCCCTCTCCCTAACCCAACCCCACACCGCCGCCGCCTCCGCCGCGCTCTTCGACCCGGCCGATGCCACGGTGGCGTACACCGCATCCCAGGACCACACCATCCGCACCATCGACCTAACGACTAGCAAAGTCGAAAACGTAATCACCACCTCGCACCCGCTCCTCTCGCTATGCGCTATCCGGCGCCACGGCAACAGCGTGCTCCTCGCAGCAGGCACTTCAGCACGCCACATCACGCTTGCAGACCCGCGGGCCGGCGCGGCCGCGACCTCGGTGATGACGCTGCGCGGGCACCGGAACATGGTTGCCGCCGTCGCGGCGTCGCCCGATAACGAGTACAGCCTAGTCTCCGCCTCGCACGACGGCACGTGTCGGATCTGGGACCTGCGGGGCGCGCGCGCGGGCACGCGGGCCGAGGGCGGGGGCGCGGTGAGTGAGTCTGTGTATGTGATTGAGCGGGAGAGCCAGAAGGCTTCGAATAGCAAGGGTGGTGATGTACCGGGCCGAGGCGCCAAGGTGTTTGGGGTGGCGTGGGATCGCAGCTGGGGGATTGTTAGTGGTGGGGAGGATCGCATGGTGCAGGTGAATCGGGGGAGGGATTTGCTCGCGGTTGGCTAGATGGTAGTTGAGACTTTTGTTTTATTTTATGCGAAGTGGGCAAGTGAGTGTGAGTGAGTGACTGGACGAGTTAGTTACGTCGACAGGTGACAGGCGATGGTGAGAATGGTATCGGTGGTTAAAGAACGGCGGTTATACCTGGGGAAAATATGGATGGATGTTCAGATGTTCAGTATAGGTAGGTACCTATCTGCCTACCTACTTAAGGTATATATATACCCCTCTTAGATCTAATACGAGTAGTATGCATGTATATGCTGGTGTAATCCATGCGTTGAGTGAGATCCTACCTAATCTATTCGATCTAAGCGTAAGAATTGCTTGCGTACAGAACTCTTCTAAGGTTCAGGTATACGGTTCTATTATTGTGATATCGACTGCGCATGTAGACGACAAGATAAGTTTAATTACCTAGTTAGTTACAAGCCGAACTACCGCATAAAAGCAGACCGAAGAACATGTCCTTGACGTGCTCACCAGCCACTTCGTAGGGCTACGTTGGTTATGGCATGATATGGTTCTAGTTATTCATAAACTTGCATCGAGTATGAGTCGACTTATACACACAAATAGTCACTACGCTTCTGTCTTTGGTATATAAAATCCCCTCTTTCCAGATGTTCTATCTACGACTCTCAACACCAAAACCATCGTCCCCAAACATCCAAAGAGCCACCGCGTTTATAATCAGCTAAATCAAATAGACGCCTCCGCGAGACCTAAGATTGCAGCGATATGCGGCCACCGCGAACACACCGAGTTCATCGAAATCCTGCCCGCAATCTCCTGTTTCAGCCGCTCCTTATCTACGGGTAGCTTCTCGTGCTCGATCGCGGCAAGTATGTAGACCATGACTGTGCTGGTTTTTAGAGGCGGATCCCGTAATAAGTGCGCTATAGTCCGGGGATCAAGGCCCTGGTTATGCCACATGAAGTACGCGCGAAGCTGCGGGGTGGATGCGAGCGCCTCGGGGTGCGTGGCGCGGTACCGTGCAACACGGTCCTCGGCGATTTCGACCCGGGAGTCCTTAGGAGCCGACGACCGTTTAGAGGCTGTGGTTTTGGATTTCACGGTAGCGGTAGCGGTTACGGTTGCGGTGGCTTCGACGACTGTCTCTACCACCGTGTCAACGACGGGTTCGTCATCCGTAGATAGTTCCAACCCGTCTGCTAGCCGGATAGGAAGGTTGAGCTCTGCATGATACGGGGGAGGCGGGCAAGGGTTGAGCTGTTGTCTGTGATGGTCAAGAGTAGCGAAAAGCTGCAATCCGGCATATGCATCTGATGCGGAATCTAAACGCCGTTAACTTGGAGGTAAGAAGGTGGAATGTTATTACTCACAAGCGACTTGATCCATATCCAGAGGTTTCGTCCAGTCACTTGTTCGGACGTCCTGACCCTTGTAAAGGGGTAGATGTAAATATTGCTCTACTTGTGTTGCTAGAGGCACAAGTTTCTTGTTGATTTCGTCTTGCCGCCCTTCGGCAGAGTAGGTAACGAGCTTGTAAAGGTGGCTTAGCTCTATGAGGCCTTTCGAATCTATGTTCAAGTAATTGCGTATCCTCGTTGCATCCGCTTTAATGTTAACGCCGACTTTTGTAATATATGGGCTTTCCATAATAGCCTTGAACGAGGGCCCGACCATGTCGCTTTTTTCGGGGAAAATAGCGACGTGGAAGAGCCCGATACGGCTGGGACTCGCCAGCTGGATTAAGGAGACGTTCTTCTTGAGGCCTGCCCACTTATAAGAGTCGGCAGCCCATTCCAGATCGAAGCCAAGAATCTGTTCATTCGAGAAGCATTCCTTGCAGACCTTTTCCATTGTATAGGTGCTTCGACAGTAGTGAACCTTTACCTTTTGCTCTGTGCCATCTTGTGCCATTCCCCGGTAGTAGGTATATGACCAATATGAAGCAGTCGTGCCGGCAGGTGCCTTTTTAGCAGCATAGAACAAGTCATCGACCATTCTGAAGGGTAAAGTAGGAACGGGAGGTTCGTCAGAGGCTTTTGCCTCGGATGATTCCGTCTGCTCATCTGTGAGAAGATCGGAATTCTCATCTATAATTTCAGTTGCTTCGAGAGCAACTGCTTTCAACTTTCGCGTTTTACGCTGCATGTTCGACGGCGAATACTTCCGGATTTTCGAATACAGAGAAGCATCCAAGCCATCTGAATCTTGTGGCGCCAAGTTTGGCGACTGCACAACGGATGAGAAGGAGATGCCCCGAGCAGGATGCCATGTTTGAGATTTAGGTGGTGTGGCGGTCATTCTCAAAGCCTGTCCTGCCCAACGGCTAAAGGGGTAATGTCTTGTTAATAAGAATATTCCTTTTGTCTTGGTGTATATACTGGAAGTGTTCAAAAAGATAGACGAACCACAAGGGGAGTGTCATGCGCAAGGCTTTGGAAGATCTCAGGGCATTTCCGGCGATCTCTGAACCTCCAAAAGACATCATTGGCAATTAACTGGCTCCCATGTATCATAACACTGCTCCATGATGACCATGTAGCTTAGTGCGAACCGCGCGGGTGCTTATTAGGCAGACGCGTTGCAATGAGCGAGTGAAAGTGGGAATTGTTTCAAATAGGAGGTACTTTAGTGCTTCAAGTATAAATTGAGTTAAATCGAGTTAAATCGAGTTCGGCGAATTCAATGTCGGTCTGTCTAGTTTTAGCGGTCCACTTGGGCTTGTTGTCAATCCGGCAGGGGAAGTTGTAGGCTAAATTTTGCTGAGTCATCTCTTAACACGACTAGCGCCCGTCATCAGGTGACCAGGTTTTTGTTTTATCCCGACCCAATTCCATACATGTACCTCTCTTAATCTACCTAGGTACCTACCTATACTTACCTACTTACCTACTTACCTAATTCACCTGCAAACGCTATTAGCCCAAGGCCGTCCATACATCTCATCTATCTTCTCACTTCCACAACAACACTTCTTGCTCGAGACTGAACAAATATATCGAAATGGCATCCCAGCTTCTACCACTAGGTATACAATTCTCTGAACTATGTATTTTCAAATAGCCAACTCTAACCCGCAACACAGAACTCATCGACAAGTGCGTCGGCTCTAGGATATGGGTTATCATGAAGGGTGACAAGGGTACAGTCATCCGTGCGCCCTGAAGTAGGCCAGATCATGACTGACAGGGTGTACCACTAGAATTCAGCGGTACCTTACTAGGATTTGACGACTACGTCAGTAAGTGAAAAAGGATGGCTCTTTCACTGTACCACGCAAACTAATGAAACATATAGACATGGTCCTGGAGGATGTAACCGAATTGTATGTACATCGCCAGTGACATATCACGATATCACATGATTGGGGCAAAATCTAATTAGAGGCAGCGACTACTCTGGAAACCATACGAAGCTCTCTAAGATCTTACTAAACGGTAACAATATATGCATGGTACGTATCAAACCATCATTGAATAGACCCATAGGCTTATTATTTCCTATAGTTGATTCCGGGAGGAGAAGGACCTGTGGCCACTTAATGAGAACGAGGTTGGATATGGGATATCGTCTGATGAATCGGAGTTGCAATTGCCTTGTCAACAACTATACTAAACTGGCGTACTGAAAAGCAGGTGCCTTGCATGTCACGACAAGTGAGCAGGGAGTTAGGAAATCAATGGAATTACAGCGGTTAAGACGACCTAGATAGAGGTCCCAGTCCTAGTCCGTATGAGAGATGATTCTGTCTGCCCCTAGAACATTGCAAACTGCCTTTTTACATGAGTTGAAATGAAAGCAAGACCGTAACGCCTGGTATCCGACCAAACCCCGTCCATAATGCATCGTGAGAATGTATGCCGCCGTATCAGAACGCTTAAGGCTTGCCGTTGGCACCACCGCCCGAGTTGTTGTCCTGCTCTCCCGCGGTGGCCATGCGGCGGAGCTCGTACTCTCGGGTGAAGTTCTGAGCGAGCTGTCCGAGGGAGGCTACGAGCTGCTTGCACACGTCTACAAACACCTCACGGGGAGTGACTGTGCCGTCGGTCTGAAGACGGATCAAGACCTCAGGGACGTTGGGATGGGCAACTAGGTGGTGGTTAGAATCCCAAACTTTGATATAATGACAACAGTTTTTCTTACCTTTGTATCCGGCCATCATCACGTGAGGGTGCTGCTTGAAGTGCTCAGCAAGCAGGTTGCCGATGGTGTGGTCTTCCTTGAGAATGATGAAATCCGAGGTGTTTGACATGCCTGGCATTCGTCAGTACTAAATCCCTTAAGGGTAGCCAAACAGAATTTGCTTACCAGCAAAAGGCTTCTCGGTGATCTTCTTCTCGTCTAACGCCTCGTTGAGGAGGAACAGCTCGAAACTATGCATCGGTTAGCTTTTGATCGTGAAATAGATATGGGATAATCTAACGGCTCCATTCTAGAGCAGTTGGAGGCCATCTTGAATGGCTATGTGGTGTAAAATTGGTGGGTAGAACGGTTAGAGAGCCCAGTGGAATAGGTAAGGAGAGTGATCTGGTTGATCTGATGCTATTCTTAATTACAGACCATCTCTTAAGGAAAAGGAGGTAGTTATGCGCCCTCCAAAATGTAGCGTCATATTTCCCCAGTGCACCTTCCAAATCATCGACATAGAGGGGCACTAAAGAGAGGATGGGACAGCAAAGCTTTGAAATATCACCTACCGATCTGGCGCGTTCATCTTGGCGGTTGTCTATCAAAGGGATAGAAAGAACTGCAAGTAGGCTTCACCCAAATATTCCTAACCGTTACTAATCCTTACTAGTGTTTATTGATGCGGCGAACACGAGTATCGTGAATGCTCGTGTTATACAGAACGTATTCAGGGTGCAATTAAAACTTGAAATAGAATCCAAGGCAAGAAACGTATTGAAGGTTGTAAAGTTCAAGTCATGAATGAATGCATGAATGGACGAATGGTTCATCCCAAGTACCTGAGCCTGGTCAAAGCGCGTCTTACCGGCCAATCGGTTAAATATCGGTATATACACGGATTATATTGGTATAAATAATACGTACCGATTTATACGAGCCACCCGTTTCAATGGCTCCTATTTCAACGTATCGACTACGTCCATGGAAGGACCTATGATTTACTACGGCCCCTATTATTCTGATAGATGCAATTATATTTTAGTAGACCATGCTCCCCTATTTTCAGAAATCTAACCATACACACACACGCAGATACCCAGTCAACAGACGTATAACAACTTAGAGGCATTTGCACCCATAACGAAGCAATCCCAAACCCTAGATGGGTAGGTACCTATGTTAAAAAGCCATGCGAGCTCTATTTCAACATAGGTATATCAAAAGCTCATCTCTTACGAGGATAAAATATTTCTAATTCTGTTGCATCAATCTCCCAACGCTGCCAATGCAAGATATAATACACAGCTATCCCATCATTCCTCCACCCTCTCAGGGTATTATAGCTTATGAGGGTCGCAGTACTTCGGTAGGCTTGGGCCGGAAGGACCGCTAGCCCAGCTGATCACCGTCAAACTAGTGGTATATGCCATTGCTATGAATCCGAAAATGCAGAGAAGGATGTCGGTTACCTTCCGCGTCCTGCTTCTCGCTACCCCCTTATAATGAAGCAGCGGCTGAGGAAAGGTTAGTACGGCCTAGTATTACGCATCAAAAGGGACGGGAACACTTACGGGGTAGATATACACGAGAGGGATACAGGCGAAGTTTCCGACGAGAGCAACGAACTTGTCCAGATCGTCCGCGCCTCCCCATGCAATGAACGCGCAGAGGAAGACAACCAAGAAACGGAACATATTCTTCTGCCACTTAATGTACGGGTTGTACTTGCCGCTTTTTGTGAAGAGGGCGTTCTCCGTAATACGAATAGCTGGGAAAATCTGCAGGGGTGTTGATAGAAGAATAGCGAGTGAGTATAAGAACTGGACACCGTTGACGAGCTTGTTGTCCTGAGGTAGATTGAGGAGAACAACTGTCTCCGTCTTCGACCCGTACGCGGCATAAGATACCGCACCCATGGTAATAAAAAGGACGGAGATGATTATCATAACGTAGAACATGACCTTAGGGAACTTGGACGGCGACCTCATCGATTCCTGAATGGGGATAATAAGACCGATTCCTTCGAATGTGAAAATGGCGGTACCGATGAAGAGTGTCCAATCCTTTTGGTTAAACTGAATGATATCTGCTATGCCGTGTGTACTTAGGGTAAGGATGTCATAGTAGAAAAGGTACGCAAGGCCGATGACAATAAAGGCATCCGCTATTAAAGCTGTGAAACCAAGCTTCCCGATGTCTCGGAACAGAGAGAACGGCAAGAAGATGATCATTTGCATCAGGATCAGCCAGGTAATTCGAATATTTGTGTTGCAGTCGGAAACGGCAAGAATGAAGGCCTGTAGATTTTCAGCCGTGAATACAATGTATGCAGCGACAAATCCGATTTGGCTAATGACGATCGAAAACAAGATCAGTTTTCTCATCCAATCGCCATATAAAATTCCACCGATATCACCAAATGACCTTTCGACTTTTAATCGTGTAGTAACAAGCAACACGAAGCAGTAGTAGCTCAACGCCGCAACGAAGATTAGAACCAAGTTGCTGAAAAGCATACCACCGTTGAAGTAAGCACGAGGCAGAAACAAAACACCCGTGCCCACAAACGATTTCAGGAGGAGTAGGGCCGCATTAAAGGGGGTATTATTCCCGCTACCACCACGAACCCTTCGTCTCCTCTTGCGCTTAGATGGTGTCAGCAGGGCACTGTCTTCCATCGGCTCTCTCTCTTCTTCACTATCGTAGAAATCGTCGCTCTCTCCAGAAGAGAAGTACTCGCCAGGACCCAATACTTCGTCGTCCTCTTCCAGCTCTTCACCTGCGAAGTGGCCATAGATAGACAAAAACTCCAAGAAATTGCTGGTAAGTAACTGAGGTTCTCGCCTCCCCCTCGACGTCCCTTCCCCAGCTCCTAATCCATCAGAGTCTAGGTGCGGGCTACGCGCCGCTCTCCTCAGATAGTTCCGCCTAAATCCGCCGGGGACCTTGATGGTGTTTATATCGAGGACTTCACTCTCGGGCTCGTCCCTAGGTTGGCTGAAACTCTTGCTGCGCTGAGGTCGGTTACGGCCTTCTGCGTCTTCAGTCCATTTATAGATCTGGCGCGTTATATCTCCTCCCTGTAACTTAAGACTAGAGAATTCTTCATCGTCGCGCCCCGGCCCCACGGAATCGCCGACCTGCTTGCCTTTGGAATTGTCACCATTGTTGGATGCAGAATCCGTAGTGTCGGTAGGTTGGACTAAATGCCGCTTGATAATCTCGGGATCTTCGTAGGCGCCCAAAGCGCCGCCCTGCAAGTGTCTCGACCTTGTTTCGAAGGAGCCATAGTTGGTTGGCGTTATGGATGGCTGTAGCCCCGAACCAGTTCCCGCCGGCGATGAAGATCGTATCGGTGGAGTGCCAAATCTTGGGGGTGATGTCCCTATAGAATTTGAAAGCGCTGCAGCGAGAGCAGACACTCCGGGGCCCATAGAACTCTGACCAGCACCGGCAAGTGGACCTACATTCTCAACGATTTCTTCGTTTCGAGCTGCACCCTGAGGTCGTTGAGATGGCGGAGTTCCGAAAGCATAAGACGGTACGGGGGAAGCCAAGCGAGCGGTAACATCAGCGCGAGGCGCCGAAGTTCCATACATACGACCGGAAGTTGGAGAGGATGATAATTGCACACCAGAAGAGGCTCCAGGCTGCGGTGTTGCGCTTCTTTCCTGATCGGAATTCGCCATGGTAAAGTTTAGGATAATGGTCGATGACAACGAAGCATTGAGGTATGAGCAGCGTCGGAATTAGCGGCGAAGAGGCTGGAGATGAATATTTGAACACGAAACACGAAGATTAGAACCCGGAGCTAATTATAAACAAGAGTTAGTTGCAGCGTTCCGGAGATTAACGTAGGTAATAGGTAATGCACTAGGTTAGGTGCTTGATGAAGGAAAAGACTTTGTCTGAGACATACTAGTAGATGCAAATAGGAAGGCTACAAGATGATGCGATGGAAAAGAAGGCGGTAGAGAGAAATATTGGATAAGGTGTGTTATGTGTTAGGTAGATAAACTAGTTAACTAATAATAAGATACTGTAAGTACTTAGGCACAGTAGCCCTCGTGATACTACATACCTTATCAGTCAGACCCTGAAGAATTGGCCTAAGTCGGTCAACTGCATCATTTGGAGCCGTACCACGGGATGGATCAAATGCGCCTTGATTTCTCAGCCAATTAGCAGCCATCAAATTATCTCCGGGCTACCTAAGCACTGGAATATTTCGGTCCGGTACACAATAGTGGGCCTGATAAACGCATTAGGTACCATTAGCACCTGCGTTAGGTGCTTGCTGCTTCGGTCTGAAATACGAACGAACCACTTATTAGAGAAAGAGCCGACGCTATCGTACTTTTTCTTTGCGTTAGTTAGGTACAACTAGAAGTTAGGTCTTTTTAAGTTCTAGTTATAGTTAACACATTCTACTTATAAGTTCAGCATTGTCTCAAATTCTTCAATATTTCAATAATCCAATATTTCAATATTCCTTTCCTTTCCTTTGGTCATACAAAATGACAATTGGTCAAGTCGCTCTCCATCCCAGACTGTATGTCTCGTTTGGGATCAGCTGCCAAACGTCATTGGACCAAACTTGATTCAATTCGAGAAACATGTTGTGGGGAATATGGCTAGACTATAACCAGTCTAGCTATTCGTCTGATATTTGTTTGCGTCCCTTATGACATCTGATTTCGACGATCCCCAAACTCAACTTCGAGCGGGGTTGCTATAGGATAATGCATCTACACTACATCAACACATCAACATTGTTAGTGACACCCCAATATGTCTGCTTGCCGCGAGAGTTGGTAGCCTCTCACAACGACGAGGCTAGCCACTAGTTTATACCGTTACGATCTTTATAGTAACAGTCAGAACTCGTAAGATCCGTTAATACAATATGCCTCCGGAATCCCGAGGAGATAACACGGGCTCCGACCCAGCGCCGTCCAAGAAGGTCAAGCTTGGAATCGTTGCTGGAGTCTTTATCCCCGTGGTTTTAAATATTATCAGTATTTTGATGTTCCTTCGTTTTGGTTCCATCATGGGTCGGATTGGACTGGTTGGGATGCTAGGTAGGTCCTACTAGCACCTACGTGACGGTTCGGTACCTTACATACGAACATTTACGCAGGTTTACTTGTTATAGCATATATTGTCGATTTTATCACTACTCTCTCCCTATCTGCTATAGCGTCTAATGGGGAGGTTAAGGGAGGTGGCGCCTACTACTTGATCTCAAGGTCCCTCGGTCCTGAGTTCGGCGGCTCCATTGGTATCTTGTTCTATCTCGCCCAAGTCGTGAACACGTCGCTTAATATCGTTGGTCTCATAGATTGCTTAAAACTCAATCTAGGACCTCTAATACCACATGGATACTGGGACAGCTATGGTATGCAAACTGCTGCTCTTGTTTTCTGTACGGGTTTAAGTCTTGCCGGACATGCTCTCTTCGTCCAAGCAAGCGGCGGCCTCATCGTCATCTTAACATTGGCTATCATAAGTATCCCAATCTCGACTGTAATGAAGAGTCCATTCAAGAACGACGATATTGGAATTGAATTTACTGGGTTGAGCCTGGCTACGATGCGCTCTAATCTCTTTCCACACGCTGGTGGCCCTAGGTATCGAGGTGTTGAGACATTCAGGGAACTATTCGGTATACTGTTCAGTGCTACATCCGGTATTTTTGCAGGAGCTTCGATGTCGGGGGACCTCCGCAATCCAAGTAAAGCAATCCCGAGAGGAACATTATGGGCTATGGCTGCGACGTTCGTCCTCTATCTCGTCGTAATTCTGTCGATAGCTTCTAGCATTACTCACCCTTCATTTCTCCGGGATACCAATATTATCTCCACAGCGAGTATATGGCCGCCACTTATTCTTGCCGGCGAGTGTGCGACAACCTTTTTCTCAGCTTTAATGGGAATTATTGGCGGTTCTAAACTTCTTCAGGCTCTTGGTCGAGATAAACTCCTTCCAGGGCTATCCATCTTTGGGAAGGGGAATAAACGTGATGATCCTATACTTGCAATACTTGTCACATATATGATTGCACAGGCTTCGCTATTCGCGAATTTGAATCAAATTGCGACTTTCATATCAATGAGCTATCAGGTAAGTATCTCTCATGAGATGCCATCCTGGCCTAGAGAACTAATGTTCGGTATAGATGACGTTCTTCGTCATGAATCTAGCATGTTTCTTGCTAAAGATAGGATCAGCTCCCAACTTCCGTCCTGCGTTTAAGTTCTTCAGCTGGCACACTGCCTTTGTGGGAAGTGTTATATCCGCTGCTTCCATGTTTTTCATAGATGAGACGTACGCTGCTGCTGCTATCTGCATTCTAATCTTTCTCTTCCTCGTTATTCATTTTATGAGCCCGCCGAAACATTGGGGCGACGTATCTCAGAATTTGATCTATCATCAAGTGCGAAAGTACCTTCTGCGACTCAAACCTGAACACATTAAATTCTGGAGACCTCAGATCATACTTCTAATCAATGATCCACGGCATCATACGCGGCTCATACAGTTCTGCAACTCTTTGAAGAAGGGATCTTTGTATATATTAGGACATGTTATCGTGACGGATGATTTCAATTCTGGCATACACGAGGCAAAGTTGCAACAATCGGCCTGGGCTCGATACATATCGGAATTCTCAAGAATTAAGGCATTCGTTCAGTTGACAATGTCGCCATCGATCATATGGGGAGTGCGGAATCTAATACTCTCAGCCGGCCTGGGCGGCATGAGACCCAATATAGCCATTCTCGGATTTTACAACATAGATGATTTACGCAAGTCTCGACCGCTTGGGCGGATACCAGAAGTCCCAAGCACGCCCACCCGACCGAAAATGGAAACAAAGACCGATGGTAAATCTTTGAGGCGGCGACGCGGTGACACATCTGCCCGTCTACTAGATGGGTTCCTTCCAACCGATGCCATGCGCACAGAGGACATGATGTCTCCTGAAAGTTATTTAACGATTCTTGAAGACCTTGCACTTCGCCACCGTCTGAATGTTGCTATTGGCAAAGGGTTTCAAACCTTGGAAACTCCGCGCCATGATGGAAACAACACTAAAAGGTATATCGACCTTTGGCCAATTCAAATGTCGGCTGAGATCACCGATGGCGACAAAAGTATTTGGACAACCAACTTTGATACATGTGTGTTCCCCTACGTATGCAAATTGAAAACTATTCATTGACGGATGAATGCAGATACGTTGATTCTTCAACTTGGCTATATTCTACAAAGTGTTCCGGCATGGAAAAGAGTATTTCAGCTCCGAGTCTTGGTATTCGTTGAGTATGAGAGCGAAGTCAAGGAAGAAGAGGCCAGATTAAAGACACTTCTGGAAAAGTTACGAATCGATGCTACAATCAAAGTATTTTGGCTTGCTTCGGGACAATTGGAGAGCTATGAGACTATTGTTAATGGTCGAGGAATTGGCTCCGGATATAGGCGTATCGTAAACGAGTTGCTGAAAGACGACGAGTGGTGGCAAGAACTTCAGAGGTTGAGGACCGAAGCTCACGAAATGTCTCGATCTCAAGAACTCGCATCATTAGAGCAAATGCTGAATGCTACTAGACGTAGAGGCAGTTCAGTGTCCAAATCCGATGGCTATAATAGTTTATCAAGGGGACTTGACGTCAACGATATACTAGAAAGATCTAAGAAACCGACCGTTTCTGCCATTTCAAAATTGGGCGTCAACTTCGGCATTCATACTCACCAGCTGAGCTCTTCCGGATTTGGTGTTCGAACAGATACTAATACGTCCGACTTTAGCGACGATGACGGCGAATCCATTGCCTCATCAAACGCCGACTTCAACGACATTACTGGCCCAGGGAGTGTTAGCGTTATGGAAGACTTAGCTTCGTCGCGGAGACCTAGCTTCTTAGCATATGCAGGTCGGAGGAAAAGCCATGGAGATATCATGCAAAGGGCAGCACCACCAAGGAGTTTAGAGCCTACCCAAGATCGGCATTTGGAGCAACAGACTGCAGCCACCTCGTCTGGATATGGCACAATGGCCCCCACAACAGGGACGGTTTCAACACCAGTACTATCTAACTCCGAGCCAACGCAGAGCTTGGCCAGCCGTCTTGATACTGTAGCAGTACCAAGAGAAACATCCCCTATCATACCAAAAGCACCGCCTAGACCCGCTCTATCACGTCATTCGTCAGCAAGTCGGTTCACTAGTAACCCAACACCAGAAACTACTGTCTTGGTCGACGATTCAGGATCGAGGATCACGTTCTCTGAAGGAGAGCAGACAATACCAACCAGAGCTAGACGTCCCATACTGTTACGAAACGCCTCGGCCGGTCCGTTCTCTAGCAGACCCGTTCCAGAGACCACGGTTGAGGCTGAAGAAGACCATGGGCCTCGGCTTACATTTGCGGACCCTGAACAGGGCGTATCTGAGCCACTATTAAGATCCAGGAGAAACTCGATGTCACGAAATGGGGGACTATCAGATGCTCGATTCAATATACCGGAGTTGCTAGCATCTCATCGCTCGAGTGGCTTATCAGACGAGGATACTCGCTCATCCTACTCTACACAGAACCTACCTCTTTCATTTAATGATTTGCCTAGTCGCGCCCAACACCTAATTCTTAATGAGCTAATGCGTCAGAATAGCAGCGATGCGGCGGTGCTACTCACAACTCTCCCGATTCCTGAGGAAGGGACATGCAAGAGCGAAGAGGCCAGCCTGAGATATTTGACCGATATTGAGGTGCTTTGCCACGAGCTTCCACCTGTCCTCTTGGTTTTGAGTAATAATATGACTGTGACGGTCAGTCTATAATATAGCACCATTTAGAGGGTCGATTTAACCAGTGGGGGTTGCTTAACTGCTAGCACATTTTGATTTACTACTAGAATATTATATAACGAGGGCCTTTCTGACAAATAACGGCCGTTACTCATTTCCCACCCAAGTTAATTATCCCTATTTTGCTGAGACTGTTAAAGTCCTACGCATAGGAGACCACTGTCGAACCACATACTTCTCTGCACGAATCAACTGGTTATTTTTGGAAACTCTTTTGAGGAAAAACAATGCGTTGTTCTCCTGACTCTTATACTTGGAGTATTAACAACTGTTGCCCTTGTTAGATGACGTAGTGGTGGGTTTGACAAAGGCAAATTTGATAAAAAATACTAGGTACTATTCACTTAGATAGTTTAGGACTGACATAGACATTTCGGACATATCTTGCGTTATACTTATTCGATCTAGGGCGATGATAGACTAACCAATAGCTTATGTTACGCACCAACACACGAAGTATAAGTAACGCACTAGCCAAAGGTCGGATGCTAGGTAGGCTGGTAGGCCAGCTTCTAGTCAGGGTAGACTCGATTCACTTAACACTCTAACGACATCAATCTAGCCTTTCTATTCAGTATCTATATAACAGACAATCATCTCTTTGGTGTAGATACAATGCGTTGGTTAAGGAAGCTTGAGTGACAAAGCACAATGCTTTGTTATGACACCTTCATGGTTCACAATGCTAACAATCATGCCTTAATAGTCCAGTTGGTGACGAAAGAAAGGAGTCAAAGAAACGCCGATTCACTCATCCCATCTTTCTACCAAACAAAACCACGCCGCCATTAATGACTTGAAGTCTATTCCCATGGCGCGCCACCGCTTGACTCTAAAGCTGTTTTGACTTTTCACTACTTGCCTATTTATGTCACTAGTTACTGACGCCATAATTCGGTATTGATGAACGCATAGCATATTCATTCCTTACAGCATAGCGACTTTTTATAATCTATTTTAATACTTGATATTTAATACTTAATACTTCATTCTTATAACTATTGCATAGAAATCCTACTAACCTAGGTAATACGAAGGAAGATACCCGTCACTGAAAGGATCACGGAATAAGGAGCAAATGGTACACGAAAATCGTCGCCACCGAAGCGCGGGCTCGGCCCGTAAAAGTAGCTTTACTACCAGCCTGAGGCGCAATAGCAGCGGTAGTTTTATTTCAAGGGTCTTAGGGAGTTTTCGACATAAGCATCATGAGGAGAAGGGGAAGAAGACGTCAGCGCAAGAGACGGGGGAGCAGCAGGATTGGATAGCCAACTACAGAGGCACACATCACCCCGACCGACCGCGTGTCGACAAACGCACTCAGGAGATGGTATCCGATGAAGAGTACGCCGCGCGGCTCGGCTGGATACGGGGGAAGAGCCAGGGGCATTGCGAACCGAGCGATCACAATAGGCCGTCGCAGGCCCCTGTGCCTAATTTCAGTTATTCGTCGACGAGCCCGAGGAGTAATAGGATGAGCTCCATGTCCCCCACGTTCGCTGAGACGGGGCAACCATCTCGCGACTGGGCACCATCCAAGGAGGCCGCTACTACGGACCCGACCCTGGTCTCTCCAGTATTGCCTGGCGTTGGGGCGATACGAACATACAACGCGAGTAGCTTAGACCGAGGCCCTATTATCCGGTATAGCGAGGGGTCCGAGAAACGGGCACCTCCACCGCCAAGGAAAATATCTGCTACCAGTCAGCATTCCAAGAGGCGTGGCTCACGGGGTTCAATGCTCGGGGGGAAGAGAACCGAGACTGATGTCGAGATAACCAATCTGCCGAACCGCAAGACCAAGACGCCGATGTACAACGGCTATCCTATCAGCGAACACGCACCCGGCCTCATCCTAAACTCCTCACCAACTTCACCCGCAGCACCACTAACATGTCCCTGGCGCGGCTGCTACGCCGTTCTTAGCACAGCACAAGAGAAAGAGGATAACCTCTGTACCACATGCCGTGAGGCCCTATTTCCTCGAGAAAGCGCATTCTTCGGCCCGTCTCCGACCGTCATTCAGAACACCCATCTCAAGACGCTACAAGCTCTCACCGGCTCTCCTAACACTACTAACGAGCACGGCCAAACCCGCACCGAGCGTTCCAGCGCTAGGAGTTTTAAGCTACTCCCGGCGCCGCGGGGTAAGAGGCGACATATTATCGAAGCGCGGAGGATGGCTAGTAACGAGGGTGATAATGATGATGGGCATGGGGATAGTAGCAGTGACAGCGAGAAGGAAAGCGGTAACGAAACAGACGGATCGGCCTGGAGCACGTTCTCGCCGGACAGCAACCAACAGGCAAGCCTCGGAATCCAAGACGCCAGCCCGTTTTCTCCGCTGCACGAGGGGATTTTCGGAACCAGTCCTAGGTCTTTAGGCATTAGATTCAACGGGGGAATTGAACACGGCGATAATCACACGTACGAGAACGGCGGCAGAGAAGAAGTAGAAGAGTCCCTTTCCCCACACACCAAGCCCCCCAGCGACAAATCCTGGACAACAGACTTGCAGTCCACCTCCAGCAGCAGCGGCGACGAGCTCGCGTCCCCATACTCGGATGTCGATATGGAAACAGCGTTGCGAGACCTGTACCCGCCTCCGCTAATCGCCCGCATCCAAAGCGGCGAGCGGGTCTCCCAGCCGCAGCGTCCAAGCAACGTCTACCGCTCTAGGGACACGCTGCTGTACCGGGAGATCGAGGATATAATCGACTGCTACGCATACCCCGAGGAGACGAAGACGAAGACGAAGACGGGGCCGGGACCGGATATAGCGGAGCAGGAGCAGGAGCAGGAGCGCCACAAGGCCGATGCTGCTGCTACGTACTTTGCGGACGAGTCGGAGGCGGAGATGAGGAGGAGCGGGTTTATCTAGGGACATCTAGTTAGGGCAGGTCACCTCGAGTTAGATGTGGTTGAGTTAGGTTAGGTACCTAGGTAGGCATATCATGTATAAAGGAAACGACTTATGAATTAACAACATGAAGCAACTCTCTGTATAAAGAGACATGCATTACTGGTGAAGTACCTAACCTAGCCTAATAGCAGCGAGCAAAGACATGAGAACACGGCAGAACTAAAAACACAACACAACTTCAACTTAACACAACGCGATGCAATGCAATGCAAAAGCTCCCATGGCGATGGCCAAGTGGCCAAGACAGTCATCATGGGAATATGTCCTATGGAGTAAACGTCGGCCTACAGGTAGAGCCTGCACAAAACACAAAAAAGCCAGATGCGATCCATATCAAATAGTGACGATGCTGATTTTCCGTGTCCGCCTTTTCTTTTCCTTGATGCAAAAGCCTGGGAGAATTAACTCGACCTATCCGGGAGTACAAACAACTGGTATCTAAAACAACCCTGTAACCGCGTCGCGCATCAAGAAATGCTAATCACCACCTTCTCTCCAGCTTGCTGGCCCTGCTCCTGGTGACCTTCATGCTGCTGCTGCTGGATACGGTGGTCCTCTTCCTGACGGTTCTGCTGTCCCGTCTTCTGGGCATCATTCTTGCCCTGGCTCCGAACAGGCTGTTGCTTTGCCTGCTGTCCCGCGGGCTTAGCGGCATGCTCGCCCGACTTTGAAAGGCCTTTCGTCGCCGTCTAGTCGATTTCGAGGGCGCTTCCATCACGGCTACGTGGAAGAAAAAAAAGCATGTTAGCGCCTATCCTTATCACTACCAAGCGAGGCAAGAAGGTAAGTTACTTACGGAATGTGGGTGTTTCCTTGGTCCTCTATCGCTTGTTTAATGTCCTCCGGTAGAGAACCGTTTACCTTGATGGCGTAGGTACCGGGGACGAAGGTGTCGACGCGTTGCCAGCGCGCAATCCAGGAACGACGAGGTTGGAAGTAGGCGGCGGTGCCCTCGAACTGGCTCGAGGTGCAGGCCTCGATGGCCTCAGGCGAGCCCTTCAGGTCAAGGAAAGGGCAGTTGGGACAGCCTTCTGCACGGAAGTGCTATTGGATTTACCTAGGTCAGTATTGCTTTGCATTTGATGTGGTGATATATCAAGATCAAGATAGGTGGGATTTGTAGGAAGGGGAATACGATATCGAGAATACGTACAGACTGGGTCATGATGATAGAGCACACCATGCACGCGCGGGCGTATCGCCACTGGTTAGGCGCGATAACCATGCCGAGCAGGTTCTGAGAAGCCATCTTGGAAGCTGTGTTGGGGACTGCACTGGAAGATTGGCAGTTGTTGGTAGCTTTAGAGCTAGAGGCTTTATTGCCAGGACTTTTATTGCCAGAGGCCTGGTAGTCTGAGTCTTTGTGGTCAGAGCCCTTTGAGCCAGAACCTTCTTGGTCGGGATCTTTGTGATCGTCGTCGCCCTGATATTTAGACTTGTCCTGGTCGCAATCCTTTTCAGAGTCGTCTTCCTTCTCGCTGTCGGAAGCCTCTTCTTCGTCGTTAGGATCTTTCTCGTTAGAATCCTCCTCCTTAGGCTTGCGCTCCTCAAAATAATAGCTTAGGTCAATGTCTTGATCTGCCTCTTCGTTTCCGGCCTCGTCTCCGTGCTCCTCGTTCACCTCTTCCTCTTCAAACAATCCCTCGTTGTATGAGTTTTCGTCGGCGGGATCGTGGTCGCCGGGAAAGAGTTGGAAATCGGATTCCTGATCGGGCTCCTGATTGGAGACAGGTGCTAAGGCAAAGAGGTACAGGGGAACAACTCCTTCGAGGATCAGGTCGTTGATAAACAAGGGAACGCTTGGGAAGCCGAGGCGGACAATGTAAGGATCATACGCAGAAGGATCGTAGGAAAAATCCTCGAAGATGTGAGTGTTAAAAAACGCGATAGGAAGCCGCGTATGAACTTGACCTGGAGGAAGCTGACCAGTAGGATCTTGGACGGGACCTTGACTGGGACCTTGATTAGAACCTTGGTTGGGAATAGGAGCACCACTTTGATTGGCAGAGTGCCAATCGACAAAGCCCTGATCAGCAGGCTGCTGATTGGAAGGCTCTGGAGTAGGAACAGCAACAGCTTGTTCGGGAACGTTATCGTCGGGAACGCTGTCTGGAGTGTTGAGCGGAACGTTGTTTGGAACGTTATCGACGTTGTCAGGAACGTTGTCAGGGACGTTGTCGGGGACGTTGTTGGGGATGTTGTCGCTGATACCGGTGTTATTGTCCGAGGTAGAAATCAAGTGGCTAGAAGCGGCTTCGTCACCGTCACTAAGAGCTTCGTTACCAGGAGCCTCGTAAGTAGGAGTCTCGTTAGTAGAGGCTGCAGGTGTTGCAGGTGTTGCAGGGACCGCGCGGGCCTCACGGGCTGCAGGGTTAGCTCTTTGTCGAGCTAGGCGAGCTCGAGCCCCATTGTTCTTAGCCTGCTGCACCCGGTTCATTGTGGCGGTTAGATGAATCACGGTTTGGTGCAACTCCCTTAACAACAAGTTGATGTGCGGGGTAAGTTCGGATAAATGTTGAAGCATGCAATTATCCGAATTGTATGTGTTTAAATATTCATCTGAGGGGCAGGGTGATCTTTGCACCTGCATTTGTTACTGTGGTGGGGCAGCCTGTGCACCATTACTTAAGGCAAGTGCAATTCACTAGGTTACTAAACTAAGTGGTCCAAGCAACAAGTGCATGTAAGTACTGCTACACTAAATTTACTATGAGAAGATACAGATAGTTGACCTTTTCCAACAAAATCACAAGAAATCAGAGGGCAGGAATGATCGCAAAATGGTAGTTACCTTTGGCCATCTGATTTAGGTGCTTTGGGTTAAGCCTACCTTAGGTACATGTAGTACTTTGGTACCACTGATCTGGAATATGCATGCAATTATCCGAGTGTACTTAGGTACATATCTATCAAAGAATGAATTTTAATATGTACTTTGCGATTCTAACATGACTTGATGGAAATGCATCATTCAAAAGCCACTCTAACTGGAACTAGCCTACAAATAAATATTACACCAAAGACAAGAGCATGATATCCCGATAATAAAGCCCATAATGACTGAACAAGCTGATGCATTAATGACTAATGCATCAATAGCTGGTACGCAGAGCGCAGCCAGAGTCAAAAAGTCACATGAGCTAGCTACCGTTACTATCAAGACACCGCGCTATTCCTACGCACATCTCGAGCTTTTCAGTGCCTCGGCCGATCCGGGTGTCTTAGATGCTCTCCAAGTGCGGTCCAAGTGTACATCTGCCCTGAAGCAATTCCTGGGCACCACAGGTCTTGGGATGCCTCTAGATATTCTCAAGGTAGAAGGGAAGGACTGTTGGTTAAGAGTCCCTCGAGATGACTTAGCAGCCTTTTCTGCAGCCATTACAGCCTGGCAAGGCTCTTATCAGGATGGTCTTCACTCATCACTTCGAATACGAGGGTGCTCTGACTGGCTTGGTGCCTTGGTGGGAAGAGATGGGGAGGATGAGCTATGGACTGGCTGAAACTTGACGGACGAAACCACCTTGTCAACCATTACCAACACGCCGAGAAACAAAATAATCTCAACCCACATTTCTATTGGTACCGCCCTAATGGTATATCCTGTTTCCTCTCCCTGTCCCCGCAACGCCATTGCTTCCCTGACGATCAAGTGCCATATATGCAAGGATGCCACGTTATGCCACCGCTCAATGCAACATCACCGTTTGGAAACATCAAAACTAAAATGCCTCTTACATCCCCGACATAAGGGAGTTATTCGCATACGCCTAAGAAGAGTCAGCTTAACATATTCGCATCGTACCTAACATAGCGACTTACCATCGGTCGAATCGGAGGATGGGGAACAGCATCAAATTGGTTAAAGTTTAACTTATAGTCGGGACCAATGTTGATGTAGGCGCCCCTGTTCTCTGTCTGGTCACAATATTTCGGTGCCGAGAAGACTTGGAACTAGTTAGCATATAGGAATGGACCAACTCAGGAGACAACTTACCGGTAATGCACTTTCCATCGTGCTCCTCTTCGTAGCCATCCATACGGACTTCATGACTTCGAATGATAGCGTCCAGGCCGTTCTTCTCGCAGAACCTCTTTGTCACGTCCGGTCCGAATTGCATACCCACTCCTCGTTTGCTAGGGCCTCGTCCAGGGGCTGTTTGAGGATCCGTCCAGAGCATTTCCATCATCAAGCCAGCTTGACCTGGTTGCCTCTGAGCATGCCTATTGACCTTTCGGATATCATCCAGAGTGACGTTATCATCTGAAAATAGGCCACCGTGCAAGACGAGATACTTAGATCCGATGAGCGTTGCCAACGGCAGTGCAGAAAAGCTTTCGGAGAACAGCTTGAATACCCTAGAATCCGATTAGAATATGCGAGTGGCTTAAAAAAAAAAAAAGGGGGGGGGGGGGGGGGGGGGGGCGGAACAAAGAGAAGTTTATAAAAAATTTAAAAAAAAAGAGAAACACAAAAAAAATTAAATATATGGGGTTTGGGGTTTTACCCGATTAAGGGAC